CACACACACAACTTGCTCACATACAACTTGCTCACACACAAATTGCACACACACACACACAACTTAGTCACACACCGTGGCAGGCGTGGCACTTGCGTGGCAGGCGTGGCACTTGGAGACATGCATGTAGCTGCACTTTGCGTGTGGCAGGCGTGGCACTTGCGTGGCAGGCGTGGCACTTGGAGACATGTAGCTGCACTTTGCGTGGCATCCACCTTCGTGTGGCACGTATGGCACTGGGCTGGCTCTGGTGGCGCGCTCGGTTCTCAGCAGTCGCAGTGGACGCCGCGGCTTTTTGCGTGGCAGGCGTGGCACTTGGAGACATGTAGCTGCACTTTGCGTGGCAGGCGTGGCACTTTGAGACATCCAGCTTCGTTTCACGTGGCAGGCGTGGTACTTGGAGACATCCACCTTCGTTTCACGTGGCAGGCGTGGCACGTATGGCACTGGGCTGGCTCTGGTGGCGCGCTCGGTTCTCAGCAGTCGCCGTGGTCGCCGCGGCTTTTTGCGTGACAGGCGTGGCACTTGGCGACATGTAGCTGCACTTGCGTGGCAGGCGTGGCACTTGGAGACATGTAGCTGCACTTTGTGGCGCGCTCGGTTCTCAGCAGTCGCCGTGGTCGCCGCGGCTTTTTGCGTGACAGGCGTGGCACTTGGCGACATGTAGCTGCACTTGCGTGGCAGGCGTGGCACTTGGAGACATGTAGCTGCACTTTGCGTGGCAGGCGTGGCACTTTGAGACCTCCACCTTCGTTTCACGTGGCAGGCGTGGACCTTCGTTTCACGTGGCAGGCGTGGTACTCGACTTACTCACACACAACTTGCTCACACACAACTTGCACACATACAACTTACTCACGCAGGCGTGGCACTTGGCGACATGGATCGTCACTTTGCGTGGCAAGCGTGGCACGTATGGCACTGGGCTGGCTCTGGTGGCGCGTTCGGATTTGCAGGTGGATTGTTAGCAGTGTTGCATGTTGCTTCTATCGCGTTGCACAGTGAGCTGTCTGTTGGTTATTAGATGGCTGTGTTGTCTGTGACTTTTCGATTTTGGGGCTCTATGCTAGCTGTGGGACTGAAGTGTCACATGTCATGAACTCAGACAGCAATGAGACCATAGCCACCACACATCACAGCACTTAGATTAGACAATATACAAGAACGACAGCAGAGTCAGCAAACAGCACGGTACAATTCCGGAAACTTTGACACGCTGTGTGAAGAAGTGAATGCACTCACATGTCTACGAACTCAGACAGCAATGATACGTGATCACATCTTTTGAACTTATACTTGTTCCCCACATCTTTGTGTGGGGTTCTTGTTTTTGGTTCTGCATCCCGTCCGCCGCCTCCTCCGCCTCCTCCCGTCGCCTCCTCGTCACCTCCTCCCGTCACACACAACTTCTCATCACACCACTTGCTCACACACAACTTGATATCATACCACTTGCTCACACACAACTTGCTCACACACAACTTGTCCACACACCACTTCTCATCACACCACTTCTCATCACACCACTTGTCATCACACCACTTGTCTTCACACTATTTGTCCACACACCACTTGTCATCACACCACTTGTCTTCACACTACTTGTCCACACACAACTTGATATCACACCACTTGCTCACACAGAACTTGCACACACACAACTTGCTCACCTTCAACTTGCTCACACACAACTTACTCACATACAACTTGCTCACACACGTCACTTTGCGTGGCAGGCGTGGCACGTATGGCACTGGGCTGGCTCTGGTGGCGCGCTCGGTTCCCACGTGCCCGAGTGGCCGCCGCGGCGTTTTGCGTGGCAGGCGTGGCACTTGGAGACATCCAGCTTCGTTTCACGTGGCAGGCGTGGTACTTGGAGACATCCACCTTCGTTTCACGTGGCAGGCGTGGCACGTATGGCACTGGGCTGGCTCTGGTGGCGCGCTCGGTTCCCACGTGCCCGAGTGGCCGCCGCGGCTGTTTGCGTGGCAGGCGTGGCACTTGGAGACATCCATCTTCGTTTCATGTCAATACACAACTTGTCCATACACAACTTACTCACACTTACTCTTCCACACGCAACTTACTCCACACCAATCCTTCACCATCTCTTTTCTCTTTCCTGCTTTCCCCATGCCATCTTTACCTTTCTTTTGCTGCTTGTTGGAAGAAGTTGACATGTGGGGTTATCCGGTCCTTTAATTTGAAGCTGCCTGGGCTTCCTCAGCACAGTCAATGGCTGGAACCTAGGATGCACGCATGTCCACATGACATATGTGGTATCTGGATTGCATGACCGTTCAGGCGTATGATAGATATGCTATATTATATGCGTTCGTTAATAAATTGTGGAAACACTGGAAGAGTAAAATCCATGCAATGCAGGATGCAGCAAACATCAGCAAACCGTCTCTTGCAAGCTTGCATACGTGCAATGGAGAAACTCCGCGGCTGTAGTTCTTGGCGATGTGCTTCACAGTGTCACTGAGCTGCCTAGCACCTGGCAAAGGGTCGTCATCATGCACATATATGGGGCCAAAATTGTGGAAAGGCTTCGTGAAAAGATGTCTTTTGCACAATTACTGTAAGAGCCGACAAGTGTGAAAAGGGGTTGAGAATTGACCGCATTTAAATCAGATAGCAGATAGCGTACCACTGTCATTGCACGCAAGATGCAATGCACGCTTCTCCATCGCTAGAGTTTGCCAGAGCATCGTGGTTAGGGAGCCATGCCCCAAAGAAACTCGGGTTCTAGGAGGTATGTCCTTTAACACCCTCTTGCCCAAGTAAACCCATATGGCTACACCACCACAATGATCAGTTCTTCTGATCCATGGTAACGATCAAAACATCAATCCTCCTCTTTGGCTCTCACCATCCTGCGAGCTTTGGTCATGAAGGGCCTGAGGCACATACATACCGGGATGTCTAAAAGTCTTTTTTCCCCACCTGCCAGGTGAGGGTTGTTAGATTTTATGTCAGTTGCCTCCTCCTCCTCCTCCTTCTCCTCCTTCTCCTCCTCCTTCTCCTCCTCCTCCTCGTCCTCCGCCTCCTCCTGCCTCGTCCTCCTCTCCTCCTCCTCCTCTCGTTGTCCTCCTCGTCCTCCTGCTCAACTGCGACTCGCGATCCACAGTGTTCGCTGTCGGACCTCAACCACGACCATCCACGCCCAGTGTTCCCTGCCGGACCTCAACCACGACCATCCACGCCCAGTGTTCCCTGCCGGACCTCAACCACGACCATCCACGCCCAGTGTTCCCTGCCGGACCTCAACCACGACCATACACGCCCAGTGTTCCCTGCCGGACCTCAACCACGACCATCCGCGCCCAGTGTTCCCTGCCGGACCTCAACCGCGAGTATCCATGCCAAGTGTTCCCTGCCGGACCTCATGTAGGAATGTCAGATAGACTGCCAGATAGAATGCCAGATAGAATGTCAGATAGGATGCCAGATAGAATGCCAGATAGAATGCCAGAAAGAATGCCAGAAAGAATGCCAGATAGAATGCCAGATAGAATGTCAGATAGGATGCCAGATAGAATGCCAGATAGAATGCCAGAAAGAATGCCAGAAAGAATGCCAGATAGACTGCCAGATAGAATGTCAGATAGAATGTCAGATATAATGCCAGATAGAATGCCAACATATATGCCAGAATGTATGTCAGATAGAATGCCAAAATATATGTCAGATATAATGCCAGATAGAATGCCAGAATATATGCCGGAATATATGTCAGATAGAATGCCAGAATATATGTCAGATATAATGCCAGATAGAATGCCAACATATATGCCAGAATATATGTCAGATAGAATGCCAAAATATATGTCAGATATAATGCCAGAATGCCAGAATATATGCCAGAATATATGTCAGATAGAATGCCAGAATATATGTCAGAATAAATGACAGGTAGAATGCCAGAATATATGTCAGATGAAATGTCAGAAAATATGTCAGATAGAATGCCAGATAGACTGCCAGATAGAATGCCAGGTGGAATGTCAGGATATATGCCAGATAGAATGCCAGAATATATGCCAGAATATATGTCAGATAGGATGTCAGAATATACTAAATATATGTCCAAATATACGTCCTGACATGTCATGGTGGGGATCACACGAAGTAGAGTAATTTGACCAAGGTCATGTGATTTGAGTTGAGCATATATTTCTTATCTGGATTGACTGATAACTGAGGATTTGGCTTGGCCAGTGCTTCGCAGCTGGTGCCCCTGCTCATCCTTATACACATTGCAGTGGACAGCAACTTGGTGATGGTTAATCTATGCATTGCTGAGCTAGGATGTTAATAAGAATTGGCGAGTCTCTCTCGCTTCGCATCCGTGAAGCATTTCTCCAACTTCTTGCTCTGCCTCGCTGAAAGCAAAGGAGATCAAGTTGCATTAGTGTTGAAAGATGTTTCAACTAATTGTATAGTACATACGATGGTTTGCCAACATTATACCTAATGTACGAGTATGGTTTGACACAAGAAAGTTTCTGAAAGACTTCACCATGGCAATCTCGAAATTTCTACAGCACTTAGACTTTGAAACGAGAAACTCCTCAGTAAATCCATCACTGGACTCGGCATCGGCTTGGACCTCTGCCATGAGGTCATACAAAGTCGATAATTTCGATCAGACATCCTCCATCTTCGCCACTGTCCTGAGGCGAGACGGATGCACGGCAACATCTGCATGCATGGATCATCATCTCTCTGGCTGGCTCGAGGCTGGAATATGGGAGTTGACTTCATGCAATCCTGGGAACAAGAAGCTCTATGCAAGACCGATGGCATATATTATTCTATATAGGCATTATAACATAAATAGGAGTGGGTCAAATATCCCAATTTGGAATGAGGGTCGCTGCACATGCTTTGTCTTCATCCTTGTAGAGCTGCAGCTTATCAATGGCATTTCCCATCTTGTTCATCCCCTGCAAAGTTCCTTTCATCATGTCTGGAAGCTTGACAGCTGCCTCAGTTCAATGCCGATGAGAAACGCATTTATGAGTTTTAGATGCAAATTGAACACAAGGAAAGTTGAATATGTTTGGTGATTGGTGCATGCATGTTGCACACTTGGCACCATCACCTTCTAGCTCCAAGGGCCCCGGGGCACCGAGGTTAGGAAAGCCCCCCATGTTGAAATCCATTTCGGAATTGAGGGCTTGGTTAGCATCACAATCCTGCTCAAGGGAACGTTTCCTCTCCAAACGTTCCAAGTCCTCCCTTTTCATGGAGCCTTCAGTACGGGTGTTCACCCAAAACTCTGCAGTGGAGTCATCGTACTCGCATTGCCTAAGACCAATGCTGCGTGGGATTCATATGGGTGTAGGGATGCATGTGGTCAACTGGATATGGTTGGAGGGATGGTTCCTCCGGTGGCAAGGATGTATATGCACGTGTTTATAAATATATTAATGATATTTTAGTCTATGTGTGCGTGTGTGCATGCATGCGTCTCATTGCAAGAAAGCAAGTCCTTTCAAAGCTTAGGAACCTGTGCAGTCCACGTTTGGTCGCCCACTTGACAATCTTGTCAATCCGATCCCTTAGTTGCAAATCAAACCGCCAGAAAAGCATAGGCGTTCAGTATACGAGTGTTGGGGTTAACTTTAATAAGAGCCAATGTTCTGAGTGTAGCCCAACTCAGACTTCATGTCTTCTTTGGAGTAGAATCCGCCCTTTACCTCGAGTGCTTTCGTCTTGGCCGTGACGCTCAAGAACTCGACTCGCTCCACAAAGACCGCCTGCATCAGTGAAGCCATAATATGTTTTTGTTTAATGTTTCTGAATGAGCGCATGCATGCATACAATCTCAAAAATAAAGCACTATATTCTGGAAATTCTGGAGACCCAAAGCTTTTAACACGTATACCAAGTCAGAAGAAAGCTCATTATTCTATATATAGGTGGCTATCGCCAAATGACATGGATGAGTGGATGTGTGCACATACTCTATATAGCAGTTAGCCCCACCTTCACACCACCTGATTTGCACCAGATTTGCAGTAGCTGCTCCCTGCCCTTCTCGGAATTCCACATTGCGATTATGTCTTTGGGGACCTCAACTCGACCTGAAGTGGGCTTGGGTGTAACGATCCTTCGTACCCTTTCCTTATCAGCACGAGTCAAAGTTTTGACAGTCATGATCATTGGGAGCTCCATGACGTCCTGCTCCTTGCTTGTCGGAGACTCATCCGCTGCAGCCGCTGGCACAGGTGATCCTGGAGCCGGGAGACTTCCATCTGGCAGTGGTGGAACCTTGGCCGTTGCAGCAAGTGCCCGCTGGGATTTAGATCAGATAACGCAACATAGCATGCATGAGATGTAAATTATGTAACAAACTCCATGAATCAAATTCTAATTTACGCAGTACATGTGTCGTTCCAAACATATATATATATATATAGACATGGTGCTGGTGGCTTTTTAGCCAGATGTTCTCCAACCTCATCATTGTAGGGGTCAGAAATGTTCTCCTGCATGGGGACTTTGGGACATGCGATCCATCCAAGCCATTGAAAAATAAAGTTTCGGGATACCATATTTTGAGACATTCCAATTTAAATCATAATGTCATAGGAAAATCAAAGGTTGGAACCCAAGGATGTTATAAGATAACTTTTTGCTCGAGGTAACATATGTTTCACCACCATAGCTCCTTGAGGGGCGTTGAAGGATTCGATCGCTGAATTGGCGTCATAACATTCAAAGGAGGGCCAGGTGGTGAGTCCATGGGCAAACTGGTCCCATCATTCACAGAACCAGCCGATTGAAACTCCATGTCCAGTGTCCGCCTAACAGGCTTGGGGAGGGCAGGTGCCTTTGAAGGCGTAGGCTTGGCAACCAACCTGGCAATCTTAGCATTGGTGTTCTCCAAACAGGCTGAAGGCTTTGCAGGCGCAGGTGTGTTACAAGGCCTAGCGATGGATCGTAAATCTACCACGCTGGGTGCATAAGGGCTGCGCTGCGCTGGCAGCGACTTCGACATCCCGGCAGCAGTAGGATCCAGAGCAGGCGAAGCCTCAAACGCCTGCACAAAAACATATGGATGTTAAAAGGCAGTGGTCCAAGTGTTCCAAACTCATGTGCCCATAGGACAAATGCATTTTGTCTTTATGAAAAAAACAGTCGCACAAGCTATCTTAATGAGATTAAAATGCTGGTGCTACTGGTGTCCTAAGAGGTCAACCCATACATGGCCCCTGCATGCCCCTGCATGCTCCTGCATGCTCCTGCATTCTCAGGACTGGCCTGGCGTCCTGGAAGTTGTGCCTTGAACGAAGCCAGCTCTTCCGCTGTTGCTGGGATGGTCGTGGCATTGGAGACTGATCGGTGATATGAGACATCGGGATCCTCATGTTCCATCTGGATAAGTGCCTGAAGAGGGAGCTATTTTTCCCAACATTAACGATATGATAATCATACCCGTTTAGATTCGATATCACAGTCCGGTAACCCCCAATAAAACCAAACAACATATCAGAAACCTTGAGGACCTAAAGAACCCTGATGATTCATATACAGATACGGTATCTCTTTATTTATTTATATATATATTTATTTGTATATATTTATTTATTTACATATACGCTATATACAACATATTTTACATCACACAAGCCTCACAGAGTTGAGCCAACTGCTTAGGATCATCTGGAAGAGCTGCTTCGAGATCCCGGTGAAGCTCTACCTGCGCATCCCGATCCATGGCCTTGATTGCGCTCTCATCAGGGTAGCCACGGATGTCTGGTGCAATAACGCAGGGGTCGGAGAAGCCATAACACCTCAGGGATATGATTTTGGGCTTCAGATTATGGTTTCAAACTTTTTCGAAACACTCCCAGAAATTCTTGGAAATTCCCAAACAAACACGAAATCTTATCACGAAAAAAGGCTTCGAAAATCGATTTTTTTCGTGCATGGATGGTTTCGAGTGTTGCATGCATGTGCATGGACGTTTCATGGATGTGCATGGATGTTCTTCGAAACCATTTTTCGCGAAAAAATGATTAGGAATTCATTTCATGTCATTTCGGGTTTCGACGAAGCATAATTTCGTACACTTTCGAATACTTTCGAATTCTTTATCATGTTTCCAAACAAACCCAGCCTTCAATCAAGATTTCACCCACGTAGATGATGATAGAGCAACCGGAAACGTCTTTACAGCCAAATGTTCATCAGCCATGCAGCATGCATGTGTATCATGCATGCATGGCTTAAGTCACTAGCTGGTCAAAGCATGTTGATTCAATAGCCGTTTGCAGCTTTAGAAGGACCAATTCTTTTGACAATAGGTATACTGACTTGAATGCCAAACCCCTGCGATGTATGTAGTTCACACATCGATCTAAATTAAATGTGGGTGAGATGTGGAATCTAAGATTCCCACAAGTCACTTGGGATGATCCATTGCCATCCCTCGGGAATTTGGAGGCCTTTAGCCTGGAAAAGATACTTTGCAACCTCTTTGATGAAAGCATCATCCCAAGAATCCCAATCGATGCTTGAGAACCAGGGGCGGTGGAACTGGTGCTCGACATCATCGCCTTGAGGAGGCACTGTCTTCTGGAGCATGTGCGGGTACAGCTGAACAGCACGTTGGGCAAAGGCTTTCGTATATGTCCTAAGTTAAGTGTGGCTTGATGAGACCTATATGGGGATGTCTGAAGATGAGGTGCCGTTTTTTGGTTAATTAGGTAGGCACGCTTAAGGGGAAAATTATATACCCTTTACTCTCGCACATCAGTGGCAAACTTAATATAGCATTTTCGTATGGACTCCCATGATGCATGCTGCCTAGATTCTGCGTAGCAGTCAAATGTTTCGTGCCATGGAATCTACGCTTCCCCTGACGATCCTTGTATTTCTTCACTGGGCTCTGTCCCTTGTTCTTTCGCTTCAATCCCTTTCGAACTTTTTTTGTCATCCGACCCTTCCAAAAATACGAGATAATTGCAGAATTGCTCCACAAACAATTTCTCTTCGGTGAACCATGGTTGCAATGTCCCATCCAGAACCAAGTCTTCCAGATCCGCAAGGGCGATGCAGGTGGACAAGTAACTTGGATCAAATAAAACAAAGGGGTGTCTTCCCATATCAATTGCAAACGTGTGCATATAAGAATGATCGAATGCTCATTTATACCGTGCCTTAGTTGCAGCGCAAAGAGATTGGAACCGGCAGTGTCGGGCTAAAAGGCTAGAACCTGGTTGCTCCGCTATCATTATGGCTCCCAATGCCACCGCCAACCACGCCAAAAGCACACTCCTGGGAAAGGCTGGAAGGCTATATATAAATACTACACAGGGACAAAAAGGCTCCATTTTGGGACCACTATCGAAATATGAACAAATGCAATCATGTACTGTCCTTCCCACCATGGCGTTGGCCAAAGTGTTGTTATGGGTCTCATATCCCATTGGATCTAGGTAAGACCGGCCACATGAAGGTTGGGAAATTGATACCCATGAGCTGCACTTGATACCCATCCAAACCACGAACTCGCCGTCAGGGGCCCCACGGAGTATGGAAACGAGGTGTGTCCTGATAGAATCCAAAGTTGAAGGATAATATAGCATTAACATTTGTTGCCAAGCAAATTGCACATGAAAAAATGAGGCCCCACCGCGAAACCTGCCGGTGTCAGAATATCATGGCCACGATGATAGTTCAGATCAAGTCTGGCCGAAACACCATGTTCCTCCCGGATGGTGTTGGTAAGCTCTCCGTATCCTGCGTAGTGCTCTATGAACCCAAAGTCCTGGGGCAGTCGAGGCTATACGTTGGTGCTGTTTTCAGCAGTGTAAAATGGAAATCATTGATATAATATATATATATATTTCACTATGTTACAAAAGCAGCTTTTTCTAGTTTACCAACCATGAAGACGATAGGTCCCCACAAAGAGTGTTTGGGGACCTATCGTTGTATTACTCGTTGTGTCTTCCCATATTATATATATAGGGATGCTATTTTATATACAACACTATGGATCTACGAGTGGCCCATATATATATATATATTATATAAATATACATATATTTATGTATATATATGCATGTGTATATATATATATATTTATTTATTTAGGGGTGCTATTGCTATTGTATATACATTATATACACTATGGATCTACGAGCGGCCCATCCTGGGAAAGGCTCAGCCGGTCGTTCCAAAGGACCAAGACCGACAGGAGAACCAGTATCTGCGTGCAGGGATGCATATAGTGGTGGATGCAGATAACCGTATTGATGCAGCATGTGCAAACAAGATTGAACACAGGCATCCAACTGAATAAAAATCTGCCTTAGGAGCTTTGGCCCTTAGAAGCTGCAGCCTCCATTGCGTCGAGCCATGGGAATCCGAAGGGCACTAGCACCAAAGATTGAGCCCAGAGGTTACTCAATTTCTCACATTATATAATATACATTTATTTATCATGTTTTGATTTCAAAAGAGAGAGAGAGAGAGATATATATATATATATATCATATAGGGGAAATTTGGGGGCCACAAGCCAACCGACACCATCCCACACCCTCAACATAAGCATGTCAGCAAAACGAGGAAGTAGTTCTGATGGATCACAAAGACCCAGAGTCGCCAAGATGTTGGCAAGGAAAAAAACCAAGATAGGGCTGAATTGCACCTATCTTGGATCAAGGCTAATAGGGGTTTAGGAGTGGAGCGTTTAAGCACAATATTTCCACCGCGATCGCTCTCTGCTCGCTGTTGAGTCTTGTGATCACGCAGTAGGCCGCAACTGTGCCATGGTCCAGGTAAAGCAGTACAAATTGAATATAGATCTATATATTTCACGTGCTTTCAATGCTTTCCAGGTAAGCTTTCAAGGTATGTGCCACCATCGCATTCTAATGCAGCCCTGCTGCCACCCCAGCTAAGTTCACATTTCATCCATGAAATTGGATAACATCCATGAAACTGGATCAAAAACCATCACATCGCATAATCTGATGGTACCCTTGGAAAACGGCCATCATGTGGAATGGCCAGCTCGCTCAGGCATCCGCTCAGCCAACGCGTGCATCCACAAACTCAGCACCTTCCTGGTTCAGAACCTCACCTTGGATGTGGAGTGGTTGAAATCCGTGGGGTCTGGTCAAAAAGAAAAGGGGAGAGCGAAATTCTATTTGGTAAAAAACAACTTGAAAAAAAGGGTTGGCGATTTCTGAAGGTATTGGAATCATCGTTCCACTTTGAAACCAAAGAAAATTGGGCCACGATGATCATATCATGCTTCTTTGTCGTTCGAGTAACGCATTTCTGGTTGAGTCAAGAACGCTATGGCCAGCTCTTCATTGATCACCTGCTTCAAAGTCGACTCTTCATCGGCATGGTCCCAGTGGCGCTCGCAGAAAAACCACCAGTTCTCCTGCAAAAGACTCACGACATATTTAAGATATGCATATACATGGTATGCGTGCTGTACGTCTATATCAACATATTTCATGCATATGGTATGCGTGCCGTACATCTATATCAAGTTTGAATGCATTATGTCACTTGCTCACTCGGTTTCCTTAAACCCAAAAACTTTAAACATTTTTTTGCATGGGTTCGCGCGCACTTTTTGGGGTGTTAAAGTTTAGGCACTCAATGAGGTAGGTCATGCATGTGTGAACCTTTTGCGTATACCATGGAATTGCATGTTGAACCTCATAGTGTCCTCGCACCAGGTGTGGCTGGTGAGGTACTTACGCAGGGAGACATTGTAGACATCTCGAACCATATCATACTTTGCATGGCTCTGCTTTGAGGTGGGTCTGTAGCGCTTTGCGAACGTGGCCTTCTCCCCACTCTTTTTCTCTTTGTCTTTCTTTGCCGCGGCCTTCTTGGGCACAGTCTTGGGTTTGGGACACTTATCTGCCTTGGCCTTAGCCTTTCCTTTTGCCTTTGGCTTGGCCTTGCCTTTGCCTCGAGCAACTGGCTTCTTCTTGAGAATCTCCGAAGACTCAGATCTGTCTTCCTCCTCCGACTCCTGTTCATCCTCCTTCTCACTGTCCACACTGTCTTCGTCCTTCTTGCTCTTGCCAGGGTTCTTGCTAGTCTTGCCCGGTTTTCCTGTCTCATGATCCTCCTCCTCTGAATCCTGATCCTTCTTCTTGCTGCCTTTCTGATCTCTCTTGCGTGCCTTCTTGTCTGGTTTCTCACCCTCCTCAGGTTCCGACTCCTCTTTCTTTTTCTTGCGGTCTTTCTCATCTTTCTTGCTAGCCTTCTTGACAGGTTTCTCATCCTCCTCAGATGCCGCCTCCTTTTCCTTCTTCTTGCGGTCTTTCTCATCTTTCTTGCTAGCCTTCTTGGCAGGTTTCTCATCCTCCTCAGATTCCGACTCCTCTTTCTTTTTCTTGCGGTCTTTCTCATCTTTCTTGCTAGCCTTCTTGACAGGTTTCTCATCCTCCTCAGATTCCGACTCCTCTGTCTTTTTCTTGCTGTTTTCTCATCTTTCGTGCAAGCCTTCTTGACAGGTTTCTCATCCTCCTCAGATTCCGATTCATCTTTGTTTTTCTTGTGGTCTTTCTCATCTTTCTAGCTAGCCTTCTCTACATTCTCGGTAGGCGTTTCACCTTCAGTCTTCCGGGTGCTCCTATCATCAGAACTGCATGCACTCTTGCTCACATTGACATCCTCAGGCCCATTTCCCTTTGCCTTTTTCTGCAGCCTGAGCTGTTCCTCACGGCGAACCAAAAGGTCCTGCAAACAGGTGTGTGTGTGTGTGATGCGTGCCACATCGTAGGGTTCTCATACCACAGTACATGTGTGCTGGTGAACATGCAGCATGAAAAAGTGCAAAAGAAACATATCATATGAAATTCAAACATAAAAACATATAAAAACATGGGTGTCCTTCCCATTCGCTTTGTCAAGAGCTGCTTGTTTGATCTTCTCAAGTTCACCCAATAATTCAGGGGCTGGAGCCTGTGTCTCTTGGGTATCCATGGGTTTCTTGGTTTCACACGTGGAACATATGAAGGATGATTTCTGCATGCCAAGATTCCGGGTTTGTCAGCTGCAACAGAATCTGGTCCACCTTCCGCATGCCCAGCCCTGGGCCAACAAGGTTTGGTTGGACATTTACTGTTAACATATTTAAGGTCTTAAGTCAAGTACAATGCATGCAATATTTCAATATATTTCATCTTAGATCTTTCTGCAGGGGTGCTTGCAACATAGATCTATATACTTAAAACATTTTAAAACATCGAAGCAACATGTGTCTCTATTGCCAAAAAGAATCTTTTTCATCTTTGACTTCACGATGTTGATCAAAGCAGAAAGGGCCGCAGGATCGACGTGAGCTGATTCAGCTTTCACTTTCGGATCTAGGGCCATCGATGGTCGGGACGGCCCCGGCCCCTCTGACATAGCTAAGGATTCAAGCTCTTCCCAAGAAGCACGTGCCTCGAGCTCTGAATTGCTACGGGTAAGGGCATCGTATATCTCAAAATGGCATAGGTCCGGGCTGGAATCAGAATCATGATCACTGGCATCAGGATTTGTCTCATCATGTTCATCCTCTTCGTCTTTGAACAGGAATGGAGAACGTCCTTCCTTACATCAGTCAGATGCGAATGGGACTAAATACTCTCTTTGGAAATCTTCATGGAACCATTCTAGTTGGGAAAGACATGGTGGGAAAACTAAAAACTTGTGGGAAGAGCAGTATCCTCATAAGCCTTGCTGTATGCAGCTGCGAGATCAAAGACCATGCAACGGATATACTTGTCCTAAACACTTTGGTCATCGAAACAAACAATCATTCACAGATTCCCCCTAACAAATTCGTTGTTGAAACCTGGTACTATCGGGCTACTGTCACATAATTGAAATAAAACGATCAGAAGATGTTGAAAGTATTATCGGGCTACATACTCGAAATAAAAAGATCACCATGTTGAAAGTCTTTAAGGGACCTATTCCTTTGTCTAATATTTTTTGATACATCAATGATGGAAAGGGCACATCCCAAAAATCATACATAAAGACTTTCAACATATGTTGGTGTTTAACTTCAATCCCAGTGGCCCTAGGAAGCTCCCATTTTCTCCACTTCCTTTTGATTGCAGATAACATTTGCTTGATGACAAAAGCTGATGCATGGATTGCTGTGATTGTGGCATCTGTTTTGCAATCAATCTCCATCAACTCAAAAAAATCCCTGACTGGGGGCTTGATGTAAGACATCCGATTGGTCGTGATTACCCCCCGTTCAGCCATGGTCTTTGTGTAAGCCTTCAACAGGGCGTGGTTAAACCGAATGTTTTGTAAGGTCGGGTACACAATCTTTCCCTGCGCCGCATCTCTCACCAGCTGCTTACACTTCGTGGCCAGCATGCAAAGAGTGTGGTTGGTCTTCCATTCGTTAACGCATGGCTCACAGTACGAAGATTTTTTTATGAATCGTTGGGACATCCTGACACACCCCAGCCAGAATGCTGCAGAATCAAAATTTATAAATCAAATATGCATATAGTCTCATGCAGAGATGAATCACCAAGTTCACCACGGTTGTGCCAGCCACCCCCGCCACTGAAGGGCGCACGGTTCACTGCTGAGGTTGATGATCTCAACGGCGATGATGCAGACATTGCACCAGCGAGAAATGGAAGCTGCTGAGAAACCAGGGGTTCAGGAAGTAATTCAGAAATCTATCAATAGAGGTTGGGTGAATTTAACAAAAATTACATAGGTATGGGGAGAAATGATTCAAAGACGATCAAGACCATTATCGATCATGAATAAACGTGCATGTAGCTATGCATGTAGTGATATTATTTTGATTTGATATGTGACCCTCAAGACCATTATCGATCATAAATATACGTGGATGTAGTGATATTACTTCGATGTGATATGAGTTGATCCAGTGATTGAGCCTGGTATGGCACCCAGTGGATTTGCCTAATTTTCAGTTCTGGTCGTTTGGGCAAAAGTGGTCGTTCACACAACATCCATTTTTAAAAGATCGTTTCAGGTCCCAGGTGTGGATCAGTGCATTTACAAGTGTATTTAATCCATATGCAGGGTTTGGTTTAGGGTTTATTTAGGGTTGGTTTATGGTTTCGTCTAGATTTGTTTCGGGTCTATTTAGGGTTGGTTTAAGGTTTTTTTCGGGTTGGCTTAGGGTCTGTTCATGGTTTGTTTAGGGTTGGATTAGGGGTTATTTAGGGGTACATACAAATAACTATAATTAGGCGTATGCAGACCCATGCGCATGATTATTTAAAGTTCATTTTGGAATACAAGCTGTGTATATAAACAACCATAGATGTATATATATATCTATATATTAATATATATCTATATAATTATATAAGTATGTATATATATATGTGTGTGTATAATTATCTATATATATATATGTGTGTGTGATTATGTGTGTATATATACAGGGCACCCGCAGTTTGGGTCTGACGTTTGGCGCTGACGCTGACGACGCATTGTGACGACACATTTGGCGATGACCCCGGCCCCCCTGACGACGCATTGTGGCGACACATTCCCTGACGACGCATTGCCCCCTGACGATGCATTACCCCCTGACGACGCTTTGTGACGACACATTCCCTGACGACGCACCCTGACGACGCATTGTGACGACACATTCCCTGACGACGCATTGCCCCGTGATCACGCATTACCCACTGACGACGCATCGTGACGACCCATTCCCTGACGACGCATTGTCCCCTGACGACACATTACCCCCTGACGACGCATTGTGACGACACATTCCCTGACGACGCATTGCCCCCTGACGACGCATTACCCCGTGACGACGCATTGTGACGACACATTCCTTGACGATGCTTTGCCCCCTGACGACGCATTACCCCCTGACGACGCATTGTGACGACACACCCCTGACGACGCATTTCCCCCTGAGACGATGCATTGTGACGACACATTCCCTGACGACGCATTGCCCCCTGACAACGCATTACCCCCTGACGACGCATTGTGTGTATTGCCTGACGACACATTGCATGTTGACAGGCTGGGGATGACGAGCAAGGGCGCAGGGGTACTGTAGTCTTAGTATGTGGGAAGACAAGTAGAGGACTGTAGAGAGGAAGAGGAGCCGGAGGGCAGATAGGGATTTGGTCTGATCACCAAGGCTAGGTTATGTAGAAATATAAAGTGTAGAGGTAATTATCTATTAATTATCAAGATCGTGTGGCGTGTTTTTGCAACCTCAGTTGAAAATCCTTGAGGCAAGGATCAATCATTAAGTTGAAGTAGTAGAACCTTCTTATCTTCTTACCAAACCCAAACGAAGAGAGCGCCGGAGTGTTCCAGGAGAAAGCTCAGGAAGTTCAATATTGATCAATATTGAGCGTGTAGCATTGAGAACATGCGGGAGTTTAGTGCGTAACATCAAGAGCCTGTTGGAAGTTCCAAGGCTACAAGCAGAGCACAGGAGGCTAGCATCAAGAGAACGCTGGCAGTCCCAAGAGGAAGCCAAGAGCATAGCACCAAGAGCGTGTTGGAAGTTCCAAGAGAAACCTAATCGAGCAATACCAAGAGAGCGTGTTGAAGGACCAAGAAAAACCTAAGAGTCTAGCATCCAGAACGTGTTGGTCAAAGCGTAGCATCAAGCGCATGCTGGAATGCTTGAGGAAGAACAAAAGAGCGTACCAACTAGAGCGTCCTGGCGTGTTCCAGAACAAAGCTAAGAGCGTAGCAGGAAGAGCGTGACTTTCTCCAGACCGCAGCGTCAAGAGGCGGAGCGTAGCACCAACAAGAGCGCGTTGGAAGTTCCAAGAAAAAGTTGTAAGAGCGTATCATCACGATTGTGGTGGACGGTAACGTCAACAGCATCTTGGACTGTTCAAGACGAGGTTCAGCGCGTAGCATCAAGAGAGTGTCAGAGCTGGAGCCAAGAACGCAGCATCAAGAGCGTGTTAGAACTCAATGTGTCACAAAAAGAAGCAAAAATAGCGCGCCATGCTTCAAGAGAAGCCAAGAGCGTAGCGTCAAGAGCGTGCTGGCAGGTCACGGTGGTATTCGGAAACTGGCGAGTGGTATTCGGAAACTGGAGGTGGTATTCGGAAACTAGGATTCGGAAACTGGAAGTGGTATTCGGAAACTGGAAAGTGGTATTCAGAAACTGGACAGAGGTATTCGGAAACTAGCCAGTGGTATTCGGAAACTGGGACGTGGTATTCGGAAACTGGTATTCGGAAACTGGGACTGGTATTCGGAAACTTGGGAGTGGTATTCGGAAACTTGGGAGGCGAATTCGGAAACTGGGAGTTGCATTCGGAAACTGATATATAATCGGAAACTGGAACCCTGGAATTGAAAACCCCCGGAATACGACCACAGAACGCTGGTTTGATTTTTTTTCCATCCGCGCAGCTCTTCAAGGGTGATCCCACTTCTTGAGCAAGGAAAGGAGTATCGCAGCGAGGATAATTTCAAGTTAATATCCTTTTCAATATATTGGCCAGTGGGGTGGCAGTTTTGATCGCTCTTCAAGATCAGTTCCAGTTAAGATTCTATTCAATATATTGGCCAGACGGGGTGGCAGTTTTGATCCCGTTAAGATCCTATTCAATATATTCGCCGAGAGGGCGGCAGTTTTCATCCCTCATGAACATAATTTAAAGTTAAGGTCCGGTTCAATATATTGGCCAGAGGGGGTGGCAGTTTTGATCTACTATGCACATGTAGGTGTTGCTTCGAGGGGTGGCAGTCTTGATCCCTCATGAAGATCAGTTGAAAGTAACATCCTATTCAATACATTGGCCAGACAGGGTGGCAGTTTTGATCCCTCATGGAGATAAGTTCAAGTTAAGATCCTATTCAATATGTTGGCCAGAGGGGGTGGCAATGTTGCTCTCGTCAAGATCCTATTCAATGTATTGGCCAGGGGGGGTGGCAGTTTCGATCCCTCATGAAGATAAGTTCAAGTTAAGACCCAGCCCAATATGTTGGCCAGAGGGGGTGGCAGTTTTGATCGCTCATGAAGATAAGTTCAAGTTAAGATCCTATTCAATAAATTGGCTAGAGGGGGTGGCAGTTCTGATCCCTCCTCCGTTGAGGTTAAGATCCTATTCAATGTATGGGCCGGAGGGGGTGGCAGTTTTGATCCCTCATGAAGAAAAGTTCAAGTTAAGGTCATTGGCCAGAGGGTGTGGCAGTCTTGATCCCTAAGGAAGATAAGTTGTAGTTAAAGTTAAGATCCTATTCAATAAACTGGCCAGAGGGGTGGCAGTTTTGATCCCTCATGAAGATTAGTTCAAGTTGACATCCGGATTTAAAAAATAGGCCAGAAGGGGTGGCAGTTTTGATCCCTCATGAAGATAAGTTCAAGTTAAGATCCTATTCAATAAATTGGCCAGAGGGGGTGGCAGTTTTGATCCCTCCTGGGGAAAAGTTGAAGTTAAGATGCGATTCAATATGTTGGCCACAGGGGGTGGCAGTTTTGATCCCTCATGGAGCGTTGAAGTTAAGATCCTATTCAATGTATTGGCCAGAGGGGGTGGCAGTTTTGATCCCTCATCAAGATAAGTTCAAGTTAAGATCCTATTCCTTATATTGGCCAGAGAGGGTTGCAGTTTTGATCCCTCATGAAGATAAGTTCAAGTTAAGATCCAGCTCAATATATTGGCCAGAGGGGGTGGCAGTTTTGATCCCTCATGAAGATAAGTTCAAGTTAAGATCCTATTCAATATATTGGCCAGAGGGCGTGGCAGTTTTGATCCCTCATGAAGAGAAGTTCAAGTTAAGATCCTATTCAATATATTGGCCAGAGGGCGTGGCAGTTTTGATCCCTCATGAAGAGAAGTTCAAGTTAAGATCCTATTTAATAAAATGGCCAGAGGGGGTGGCAGTTTTGATCCCTCATGAAGAGAAGTTCAAGTTAAGATCCTATTTAATAAAATGGCCAGAGGGGGTGGCAGTTTTGATCCCTCATGAAGAGAAGTTCAAGTTAAGATCCTATTTAATAAAATGGCCAGAGGGGGTGGCAGTTTTGATCCCTCATGAAGAGAAGTTCAAGTTAAGATCCTATTCCTTATATTGGCCAGAGAGGGTGGCAGTTTTGATCCCTCATGAAGATAAGTTAAAGTTTAGGTCCACCTTCTGGCTGCCCAAAATACACCTCAGATCACATACCGGAAGTAGCCCACTTCATGTGCGAACCCATGAATTTGGGGGATTCCTAGAATCCAATTTCACTAACTTATGAACAAGGTCCAGATAGTAAGGGTTTAGATAGTAGGGGTTTGGTGTTCAAAGCTTTCAGAATTGATACCCCTTTCTTGAGAAGAGCAAAGCAAATTTTAGTAATAAATAGGCAAACTTTAAAATTAAATAGGCAAATCTGAAGTAGGACTACATTTTTTCAAGGGGCATGCCGCAATGCTACGGAAATGAAAACAAAGATTTGCTTATTTTTGACCACCCCTGTGCTTACCCTGAACGAGGATATAGCGTTCATTGTGATGTATTGGGGGTGATGTTTGATGGGTGTGGGCGCCCTTTTATTTGTATATTTGAGCAACACCTGCTTTCAAAACATCCAGGCACACACGAGAAATTATAATATACACACAGTGACATGCTTGGTTGACGTTGATGGTCCTTCAAGGTTTCAAAAATTTGTCAATTGCAATTGACTCAAATGTGCGGGCTGTCATTGACAGTGAAGTCAATCAGTAATCAGCTGTGACTTCCAAGATCACCGCCAGTTAAAGTGGCAGACCTCGGCAAAAGGAGCCAATCAGCCAGAGTCAGAGTGCAATGTCACAAATAATCTTACACTGACCGACCAATTCAATGCAGAATTTTTTCAATCAGCCAAGTGAGGTTGTTAAAGCCTGCTCCGGCCCCCATACTGACAACACTTAGGTTGCCACATTAAATTCCCCTACGCCTCAGATCTGATTTGATCAAAGATCAAGGCAACCGCTGAGCCAAACTGAGCTGTGTAGTGCTCAGAAAGCTCCAGCAACTCCTTGTTCCCAGTGAAGGTTTTGTCACCGTTCCAGGACTCACCCACTTCCGCACAGAGGTCAAGCAAAGGGTCGGGCTTCTCGCGGCGGAGACCTTCAAAAGTGCCTTCAGGGTGCCATATCTGCAATGGTTTCTGAAATGGGCCGCCACCGTTCCAGGACTCACCCACTTCCGCACAGAGGTCAAGCAAAGGGTCGGGCTTCTCGCGGCGGAGACCTTCAAAAGTGCCTTCAGGGTGCCATATCTGCAATGGTTTCTGAAATGGGCCGCCGAAGCTCCCCATGTACGTCACAGTCTTCTTGAAATTGAAGAAATTGAAAACATGACTCAAACTTGGCAGCTTCATCATGCAACTGCTACCAGGTTGCTCCAGCACCGGCCAGCTTCCGAGCAGGATGCACAGGAACATGCAGAGGGCCGTGACTTCTTGCTGATAGTTGCCAACCTCCACCCAGGGCTTGCTCGTATCTCCGTAGAACCGGTTGCATGGGTACCGTAGGGAGGCAGACAGGCAAAGGACAACAAACGAGGAGCATCGGGTACCAAACCAATGCAAACTCTTCCTACTGGAAGAACAGATCATGTCAACCCATGTCCGAATGCCTTTTGCTGACATCATATCATGATTCTGGTGGAAGAGTATGTCCACTGAAGCTCCCTTGAAGCCTTGGCGAATCATCTCTCGGCTGAGTTGCGCTTTCCCAGCACAAAACTCGACAAATTGCAACATCTCATCTTCACAGCAATTCACAAAGTTGGCAAGGGCCCTTTCAGCCACCGTGACCAGAACCTCGACTCCATTGTTGCACTGTTCAAGGTGAGGGAAGGCCAGAGTCAGCAGCTGGGGCCAGAAGTACCAAGCCCTTCCACCGTTGATTTTGTCATAGTCCATAAAAGCTTCACAGACCGACTTGATGTGGCAATGGCCTGCCGGCCAGTCAAAGGTCCTTAATTGAGATGAAATGATTTGCAAAACTAACTGGAAAAGATGAGAAGTGGGAAAAGAAAAATAGACAATCAATAAATGAAGTCCAAGGGCCTGTGGAAGATTGAGAACCCGAAGAAATCGTGAAAGTCCAGTTGCTGGATGGACTTCAACTGATGATCCAGCCAACTCTGTCTCAGGGTCCATCCTCTCTTGACGATCACCATCACGCAAAGGCTGCATCACAGATGAAGCCACCATCACAGGGACCATTGCAATCTGGCCCGCTGGAATCATAAGTGACAAAATTGACGAAATTGACACCAGAGAACTAAACCCTACAAAAGCCACTGAAATAGTTGCGTCACACAGACTGCCAATGAGTCAAGCCGTCGAACCAAAATCTAGTCAGTAATTATAATAATAAGGTCTGAGTCTGACAGAGACAGTCTGTGGGTTGAGTGTCCGACTGGGCCGCAGACCCAGGCCTGGCAAGTTCAGTCCCGGTGAAGCAACAAACAATAATAATCAATATCCAGCTCAGCTCGCGCATTTTGTCACCTCAACGCTTTGCATAGTCTTTCGGCATGGGTCATTAAATGTCCCCATTGAACATCACCCAACCATTAGATTCCATTAGGTATATGGTCTATAATGGCTACTATAAGGTGATGTCCAATATTCCCAAAATGGGACATTTACCAACCCCTGTTCGGAGCTGGAAGTGCGTCCATTTCATCTTTCAACCCATTTAATACTTGGACAGGGACTTGTCCTGGCACTTGCGGTGGGTCAGTTGTATCCAAGCCTGCAAGAATGGCCTTCTCCCACATCCACTCATGAACTTGGCTGAGGGCGGCATCTTGCCATGATCTTGTAGTTTTGAAGCTGCTGCTAAAGTACATTTGTTTGGCTTGGCATCCCAGAGACCACTCGGTACCGTTTTCTTCCTGTCCATTTCAACTTGGAAGCGGTGGGCATTTTTGTCCAGTCTTAGCTTGAACCACTCCATTGGTTCAATGCTCTTCAACAGAGCTGGGGTCGAATGAACTCGGGGACCAACCTCTCTAGGACCAAGAGCAGCAGCAGGCCTTGCTGCTTCGGGAGCAGGCTCTGGCTCTGCTGCCTGAGCAGGCTGCGCTGCTTCCGGAGGCTGAACCCGAGGCTTTGCTTCCAACAAAGGTGCTTGTGCTCCTTCGGGAGCAGGTTCTGGACCTGCTGCCTCAACAGGCTCTGGCTCTGCTGCTTCCGGGTGGCTCAACCACAAGCTCTGCTTCCGGGGCCGCTTCTGGTTGAGAGGTGATGGCGGCTGACCGTCCAAAATTGGCACTACAGGCAAGGTCAAAGGCAAATCTGCGCCATCATGAGCTGGAACGGTCGTCTCGGGCTCTGACGCCGGTGGCTCCAGTTGGTCACTTTCCGAATTGACAGAATTGACAGACTTGACAGAATTGACATTGACATCCCCAGCTACAGCCTCCATTGCGACATCGCCATCATTGTCGTCCTCGCAAGGCTGGGTCTCGCTTCTCTTCGTCTTTAAAGTTTTGCTCTTGCCTTTGCCCTTGCCTTTGCCCTTGCCTTTGCCCTTGCCCTTTCCTTTTGACTTGGCTCCTCCCTTCACCTGGCCCTTTGCCTGTTTCTTTTCACGCTTCGCCTTAGTTGCACACCGCATGGCATGATGCTAATTAAATTAGAACAGAGGGAGCCAGACTAGCTTGGAATTAGTTGTAACCATATAACGTGGTAGTATAATACAATTGGATTGGTGAAATGAAACAATCAGGTAAGTTTCCTTTTGCTCCTCAGTCTTCTGGTTCAAGAGGTCCCTCCACTTCTTTTGCACCTGCGCCTTCTCAGACTTCAAAACATCGTCTCTCGTGTCTTTGAATTCTTTGCGCTCATCATCGTCCAGATATTCAAAGACCGCTTTGACCAAAACACCATCACTGTGGCTGACAGTCTTCTTGGGCCCATTGGACTGTTTGTCCTGCTCCAAAACATGATCACAAAATTCCTGGCCAAACTGGGAAGCCAATGTTGTCAACAGATCCACCCTGCTCCTCCTACCAGCACCCCCTGCAAGGAGGCTCAGATCATTGAAAGAAAGCTCACTCGAGCGCCTCAAGGAATTCTGGGTCAAGCTTTCAAGTGGACCTGAAGGAAAGCAAAGGCCAAAGTCCTCAGACCAGACCGGATTCGTTGGAAACGCATACCAGGCACCAGGCGCATGGATATGCAGCCATTCGCCACCTTTGTTTTCATCAAGATAGAAATAGGGCGCCCGATCCTCAGATTGGAAGAGAGGCCAGGCTAGTGTAGCCCACTTCATATGTCCTAAGACATACATTGGGTTGCCTTCTTCTGTGTGCTGAATGATTTGCCCTTCAAGGGCCATGCGGTTGTGAAGACCAGCCTGGGAGTCCGTCCAAGCCGTGTCACTTTAGATTAGAAAAGCAACTTTTCAATTCAATTCAAACAACAAACTAACATGGCCCACATGTCATGATCCATGATCACGTGCAAACACGGGAGGTAGCTGAGTCGACCATCGCAGGCTTGATCCACTTGGATCACCTCCTCATTCAAGACAATGACCTTCTCGACAGGGTTGTAGGCGCACTGATCGCCCAGCTGTAAATTCAAGAGTCGAAGCAACTGTTCTGGGGCCTTAAAATCATCCAGGCAAAGGTCCGTCAACTTTTCAAGCTGGCAAGACAAGGCCTGAAGGAATTTCAGGCTGGAAAGTCTTTCGGTCTCCCTTCTTGCTGCTAGCCGTTCGGCTTCTGCTGTCAACTCCATCTCGCCGGGATAAAGGCACCTGGTAGAACGAACATGAACAGAGCACATGTGCGCTGCTACATCATTGCTTGGGTCATACGCAACAGACATGAGATAATCCTTGTTGTTGTGCGTTGATGCATCAGTACAGATTGCCAACCGGTTCACACGCAGAAATGTCATCCGGGAAGCTCTTCTGTACATATTATTGAGCAACTTGCGCTGCCACTTCCAAACAATGGGCCCTTTGACCCCACCCTGGGAATCATTTCGGCGAAGCTGAGTGACCTTATCAAAACTGACCCCGCATTCCCTTGAATCTTGGATCATTTGCCAGACTGCGTGGAAGTTCATTGACGTCCTGCTCTGCATGCCCTCATCTTCATGTGTCCTCCAAGGCACAAGCAAACCTGCATTTGAATTGCAAGCGGCTTGACTAATTAGTACTTTGACTTGAAAAATTGTTTTTTGTAAAGATTCTCCTGATTCGAATACGCCTCGCTGGCAAAGGCTGAGAATCCTGAGAATCTTCTTGCTGGGCCATGGCATCCAACACCACAGTGTCAATTGCACGGGACAGAAAATCAACGATGAGACATTGAAGCCCCTGGATTGCAGAGATTGAGTGCACTGATGGCATCCTGGAGTGAGCCTTCTTGAAAGCAGGTAAGAAGCCAACGGCAAAAAGTACAAGATCTTTCAGTTGCGGAGGCACGCCCTCAGCAAACACATTCTGTGACAAAATGCTTCCGTTCACATCATCAGCCATGCATGCCCAGGAATCCATCCAGGCCCTGACAATATTTCTGTGCAAATTTCTGGACAACCAGCGGTCAAATCCAGACACTGCACCAGTGGACTGCAAAGTAAGCCCGCCGCCAATCTCGTAACTGCTATCAGCTACCAAAGTCAAAGCAAGAAGTGCAAAGTCGCGAAAGAACTGCTGGAAGTTGGAGCTCTTGGCCTGTGTCCTGGATTTGGTCAAGACATCCAGCATGTAGTGCAGAATGAGCGCTGTACTCGCAGCATCAATTGCTAAGAAGCCAGGCCTCCACAAAATGACAAAAGCCGTTGAAAGATTCAAACTAAACCCACATTGCCACATTTGCTGCAATGACTTTTTGACCCGCCCAGCCTTCTCCTTGCTTTGAGATGTAGGTCCAAATCCGACAGAGTTTCAATGTCATTACAAAGTCTTGTCAAGTCTTGCAAAAGCTTGGTTTTGAGCCTAGTTTCACCAGCACTCTCTTGTCATAGACATACGCGAAGTCCCACCGAAAGCCATCGGACAAATTGTAGCCCACACTGCCAAATCTCAGCAAGGCATGATTGCAAACAAAAGGCTGCAGATCAGTGGTCAGGCTCTGGAAGGGGTGTTGCCCTTCATCATCAGCAGCATCCGCCATCCATCAAAATTAAATTCAAACGACCCAAATGACCAAATTGACCCAATTGAATGTTACCTTGAGCCTTGCCGACAGAGTCAGAGTCACTGAGTGTAAATTATGCACCAAGTAATGAATTGATTCTGTCAGTGCGCAAATCGAGAAGTGTACTGTAACATGTGCATAGGCATGGGTGCCCCTGCGCAAGGATGACACATCAAATCGACCGCCTGACATAGCCTTTTGTGTGCTCAAAATAAGGGTTTGCCCGCTACTGCCTGCAGCAGCTCCGCTGACAGGTTATGAGCCCAAGGGCTACTGGTGAAGCCATGTCGGCTGGCGCTGCTGAAAGGGCGTTGTCGTTGCCACCAATTGGCAACCCTTTCTGGTCTGAGAGGGCCCTGGAGGAGCATGCGCTGCAGCTGATGAGGCCACCTGACCTACCAGGTGATGGACGTGTACGAGAAGGTCCAAGGACTGTGGCGGTGAGGTCACGGAGTCCAATGGGAGACATGAGTAGGCGTCCAAAGCCTAGAAGAAATAGGAGCGGTAGCAGTGAGGGTGAACCAAAAAATAGCACAAAGAGAGGTAAAGGCGTTGGAGGAGATGTAGGGCGTAGAGAAGATGAGGTGTCGCTAGAAAGACTGTTGGAAAGGGAAATGGTGGACACTCTGAAAGATGAGAATGAAAAGCTTCGAGATGAACAAGAGAGGCTTAGAGAAGAACTGAGGAGGTTGCGCAGGTCTGGGACGAGTGTGGACTCCTGGTCTGAAGTGACGCCGCAGCCACCCTCAGATCCACCACCCAAAACGCCTGAAAGGACACCACCAATGATGACCCCTATGTCACCTTCAAAAATGTATACCCCAAATGGGACTGAAGTGCCAGCGGGACCACCCCCTGGTTGTGAAAGTTGTGAACCAGCTTGGATAGGTCAAATTCCTTGGTGGCCGGAATCACTTGGTGCGTTTGAGGCCAAGGATTTGATGGGACGTCATGAGGGGCAGGTGAAGCCTGTCTCCGAACGTCCAGGTCAAGATCTAGGTGATGGAGAATGTCTTGACGATCGGGCTTTGCATGGCATGCGAGATGGACTCCAACGAGGGCATCGGGCTTTTGTGCACGGTGAACACCCTGAAGGGCATCGGGCTTTGATGCACGGGGGACATCGAGAAGGGCATCGGGCTGTGCATTTCCATCGAGATGGTCAAGGGCTTCGTCAAGGAGATCTTCAACGTGCTGGACATCAAGAAGGGCATCGGGCTTTGATGCATGGTGTTCAACAAGAAGTACATCGGGCTGCACGGGTTGATAGCATGTCCGAGGTGGATCGTCTTCTTCGACAAGGGCATCTTCGAGGAGGAGAGCGTCGTGATGAGCTGGGGTGGGAATTGACTCCGGACGAGATGGCATGGCTTCAAAGTGAAGGAGCTCTGTCTGGCGCTCAACAAGGTAGAGGCTGCATAGATGTTGAAGAAGAAAAAAGGTTTCAAGAAATGTTGGAGGTAATTCCAAGGAAAGTTTGGCCTAAGGAGTATTGGGGAAAGCCGTTTGTTCAACAGTATAGGGACATGGAATCGGCACGTCTTGGAATGAAAAGGGTAGGCGGTAAGGCTGAGACCCCCAAGGCTGAGACCCCCAAAGAGGCTGAGACCCCCAAGGAGGCTGAGACCCCCTTCAAGGAGGCTGAGACCCCCTTCAAGGAGGCTGAGACCCCCAAGGAGGCTGAGACCACCAAGGCTGAGACCCGCGAGGAGGCTGTGAGACCCCCAAAGGATGGCGAGTCTTGGAGTGCAGGTTCAAAGATGTGGCAATCGCCAATGCCAGTGATGGACTTCCAAGAGGAGATGAGGTCCATTCCAATCACTCTGCCGGTTTTGGCAGATCCAGGAACAAAGAATGCTGCGCTGTTGGCCGGTGATTGGCTTACGCAGCTGGAGCGGCTGATCGGAGATGTATCAGCGAGAGCTGGAATTTGGTGGAAACAGGTGGTGGAGCTCACGATGAAGCGCTACAGAGAATGGCTTCAGGCACCACCTTTGCAGCGTCTCTACATCAAGGCGCCTGCGGATGAGGAGCTCCCCAAAGGTTTTGACCGACTTCGGCAACGGGTGTCCTCGATGATGTTGCAGGCCATCCCCACTGCCATCAAGGATGAGGTCATTTCCACCAGACAGCTCTCACCACAAGGAATCTTGTTTCGGATTCTTCGAGTTTACCAGCCAGGTGGACTCAATGAAAGGTCAGAGACTTTGAAGTCCTTGACAGCAACGACCTCAGCCACAACTGCGAAGGATGCTGTAGAGTCGTTGAGGTTATGGAAAAGGCACCACAACAGGGCTAGCGAGTTGGGAGCGTCTCTCCCAGATTCAACTCTGATGATCAAGGCGCTGGACAGAACGATGGAGCTGTTGCTCAACAAGTCCCAGCAAGCCAGCTTCAGGGTCAGTACGTTCAGGCTTCAGTATGAGGTCGATGTGAATCCCAATGACGTTGTGGTGAACAAGCTGTACGAGGTCTTGCTTGCGGAGGCCGAGCTCATGGTCACGGCCAACTCTGAGGAGAATCCAGCTGTCAAGCAAATGCAGGTGCTTCCCAATGGTAAAGGACCTCCACAACAACAAACTTCTCCTGGAAAAATGTCAGTTTGCAAATGGTGGGGTTCTACTGAAGGTTGTCGACGTGGCCGAGCGTGCAAGTTTCTGCACGATTTGGACTCCCTGGAGGATAAGTCGACCAGGTGCTGGCTGTGCAGTTCTACAACACATGCCAAGAAGAACTGTCCGACAAAAGATGGCCACACCAGGTCGGGGGGAGTGGAGGAGGTGGTTCAACTTCGATGTCAACTTCGATGACAACCTCTTCATCCAACAAGGGCCAGTTCAACGGCAACAAGAACAACCAGCAGGAGAAGAAAGGGAAAGGAGGAGGCAAGAAAGGGAAGGACAAGGGCAAAAGTGAAGGGACAGCGGAGGATAAAAAAGAGAAAGATGAGAAGGCTGATCCAAACATTGCCTCGATGAACGTTGATGATGATAAGAGGAGTGAGGCAAGTGTGAGGACAGCGAGCACAGGTGATAGCAGCTTGATGAACGAGGTGACCAATTTGCTGAAGTGTATGAGGATTTCGAATGATGGAGATCCAACAGTCAAGGCAATGGTCAAGCAGGTCGTCTACTCTGAGGAGAAGAATCACCGAGTGCTCATAGACGGGGGAGCAACACACTGTCTGAGAAGGGCATCAATGCATGAGTGGAACCAGAGTTGTGATGTGACGGTCCACTTAGCAACAGGAACTGTCAAGCTCAGGCAACACCCCGAGAAGAAAACCATCTTCACCAAGGACCACTGCCAGCCTATTGTGCCGATGGCGCTTCTGGTTCAAGCTGGAGCTCAAGTTGCATGGGACAAAGATGGATGTAAAATACAACACCCCGTGCATGGCAGGCTGGAGGTCAAGATGGATCAAGGATGCCCAACTTTGGAACACGATGTGGGCATGAAGATCATGTTGGAAGTGGAACAAATGATGATGCGTGGTGACTTTGCAGTAAGGATGCTTGGAGGAATGGAGAAGTCTGAGAAGGATGAAGAGATGCTCAAAAAGCTTCAGGAGGTGAAGAAGGAGTTTCCCCTCGTCCCGGACGCCATCCTCAACCGCATCCCAGGACGATCAAGCTATGATCCCACGCAGCTTCCACTCAATAGAAAGATGAGGAGAAGAGTTCAGAATGCAGAGAAGGTCATCATCCACCTCTACTCTGGTCCAGATCCCAAAGAGTGGCTGAAACTTCGAGATGAGAAGACCTATGTCATCTGCATTGACAAGCTCTACCACAATGGAGACATGCTCAACGATCACCTGATGGGCACTTGGAGGAGGTCATGGACTCTGGCAAGGTGGAGATGTTCTTGATGGGTCCACCGTGCCGCACAGTCAGCGCTGCAAGACACACTGAAGATGGAGGTCCGAGGCCTTTGAGGAGCCGAGAAGGTGATGAGAGGTTTGGTCTCAAAGGGCTCAACCACTATGAAAAGAAGCTGGTGGAGGACGACACGGTTCTCATGCTACGAGCTCAATGGTTGGCCCGGAAAGGTAACAAAGCCAGTAATGGCATCATGGAGTCCATGCTGGAGCAGCCCAGGGATCCGAGTGAGTACAGGGAGGGGAGCTATCCTACGTTTTTGACATGGCCAGAGACCAAGGGAACAGCTGACCAACTGGGATGGCAAAAGGTGATCCTAGATCAGGGAGCAGTTGGACACCCAACACGAAAGCCAACGACCCTCCTCTCGGACATTCCCGAGGTGGCTCAACTACATAGTTTGAAAGATGATCGACCTCCACAACATGACAGGCAAAAACTTTCTCTGGAGCAACGACTCGAACAGTCGAAAAGCTGGGCAGCGTGGGCAGAAGGTCTGAAGTATGTCCTCAAAGTGGCCGCTAAGAGGATCAAAAACACGCCCACTGCCGCCATGAAAGTTGTCAACTTGCCCAAGAAGGAGGTGGAGTCATGGAGGAGACACTTTGCTGCTGGGCATGTGCCGTACCGCCGTGACTGTGGTGTATGTGTTGAAGCTGCTGGTCGAGGAAGGTGCAGAAAGAGAATACAACACCCAGAGGCGTTTTGCCTTTCTGTCGACACAGCAGGACCTTTCTGTGCTGGTGTTGATCAGTCAAGAAAGAAGGCCAAGTACATGCTCATCGGCACCATCACTATTCCTACGAAAAAGGGGAGACCTATGGTAGAAGGGTTGGACAGGCTCATAGCAAGAGACCCTGGAAAAGATCAGCACTTGGATTCGATGGAAGAGGCTCTCATGTCACTCTACGACCAGTACAAGGAGATGGAGAATCCCGAAGAAGACCCTTTGAAGATCGAGGATAAGAAAGACTCAAAGGAGAAAGGGGAGGATCCAGTTGAGGTGGAGGCGCAAGAAGTTGAGGAGTGCGTCTCAAAAGAAGTGGAAAGAGCCGTGATAGAGGAGATCAAGGACTGGTCAATGGAAAGTCTCACAGTGGCGATCCCTCTGGCAAGCAGAAACAAGAAGGAAGTCGTAGAAGGTTTGACATGGATCTACTCAAAGTTGAAATCGATCCACATACCTGTCCAAAGGTTGCATGCTGACAGGGCTCGTGAGTTTGTGAGCCAAGATGTCAAAAGATGGGCACAGGCCAGAAACCTTCACCAGACCTTTACTGAGGGAGATTCAGGAGAGGCGAACGGCCGAGCAGAACGAGAAGTGGGTATCGTCAAAGCCCTCACTCGGGCACAGCTGCTGGCAACTGGTGAGGACAAATCACTATGGCCCCTTGCACTTCGACATGGTGCAGAACGTCGTTTTCGGCAACAGCTACTTCGACTTGGAGTGCCAACGCCAGCTCCCATCCCCTTTGGCACTATGGGCCTGGCAAAAAGGAAGAGGTGGGAGAGAGGAGAAAAAGGAGAAGCAGGACTACTGGCTCCTATGAGAAGAGGGAAGATCATGGGTCCGGCTTCATCAATGTCTTTGACCTCCAAGGGATACTATGTGAGATTGGAGGACACTGGCAACTACATCTACTCCACAGCTGTCGTTGTGCCCAAGCCCAAGTCGGCCGACGCTTTCGAACAAGTTCGAGCCGAAGTACAAGATCAACAACAAGGTGCGTGTCCCGAATTGGACGCCATAGAGGCAGAACTGTTCCCACCACAGCTTCCACAACAAGCCTTGAAGGCCTCTCCACAATATCAACCTGATGCTGCGCAAGTTCAACAACATCTCGATGCACTTCACCATGAAGATGATGGGTATTCTCCTACAGAAATGGCGGAGTCAGAGGATGACCCCTTCAAAGAGCAGTTCCTGGCAGAGTTCGGTGAGGTGTATGAGAGGCTTTACCCAGAGAATGCTCCTGCAGAAGAACGTCGACGGCGTCTTCGGGGCAAACAAACAGTGCCTGCTAGACTTCAGGTCTTGAATCTAGCAGGGGGGGAGTGCAGAGGAGGTAGTACAAGAGGAGGAGGTGATGAAAAAGGTCTTGAATGCCAAGGATGTGGCCTTCTTCGGTACCATCACTGTCCACCACAAGCTCAACAACAAGGAGCCCTCCGCAAATGCGCTTTCTGCAATGAGGTTCAAGAGGTTGAGGACGCAGAGTTTGAGGTTGAGGAGAGTGAGGATGAGGAAGCAGAGTGGGGGGAGATGAAAGTCCAACAGCATTGGGCTATGAGCAAGCTGATCGGAGAAGAGATGGCCCTCATAGATGGCATCGATGCAGATCAGCAGATATGGATGAAGACCCTGACCAAGGTGCATGAGGAGCGGGTGAAGTTGGAGGAAGAGATCTTGGAGAAGAAGCAAGAGGAGGTCCTTCAAGGCTACACCGTCTCCAACCAGGAGGTCAGGAACAACTGGGAGGATTGGAAAGCCCCCATCGACAAGGAGTTATCTACCTTGCTGGAGAATGGTGCAATCTCTCCGATCACCAAGCAGCAGCGTGATGAACTAGTTCAACAACATGGCACCAGGATGGAGTGCATCCCTTCAAAGATCGTTGCTGTGGTGAAGGCAGGTGGAAAGAAAAAAGCGAGGTTGGTGGCCTGTGGAAACTATGCCACAACAGATCACATCACGGCTGAGGAGAAGACGGCCTCTGGAACTGACATCGTGGCCCTGAGGATGATGCTGAGAGTAGCAGCCCATCGAGGTTGGGAAGTCGGGTCGCTAGACGTCAAAGGAGCCTTTCTTCCCGCCCCACGCAGAAAGAGAGATGTCACAGTTTTGAAGCCACCAGCTGTGCTACTCCAAAAAGGTGTTGTCAGTCAAGACACACTATGGTCTGTGAACAAGGCTGTCTACGGTCTGGTAGAAAGCCCAGCTGACTGGAGCGACTATAGAGACAAGGAGATTGCGGTGATGCAATGGAAACTCCATGACAAGATCTACGAGCTCCAGATGAGTGAGGAGACCAACATGTGGCTCATCAAAGAAGTTGGAGGAGATGGTAGTCCGCTATCTTGCAACCTACGTGGACGACATGCTGATGGTGGGTCCGCAACCTCTACTTCAAGCTATGACCACCATTGCCAACAAGTGGGAATGCTCCTCGCAAGAGTTTGCCGAATTTGGCAAGGATCTCCGGTTTTGCGGTATGGAGATTCGCAAAACTCCTCAAGGTTTTGACATCCACCAGTCTTCCTACGTGATGGACCTCTTGGCCAGGTATGAAGTCGCCAAGACAGCCGATGTTCCCATGGGAAAGGTCGAAGACTTGGATGAGGATGAAGAGGAGAAGAAGGTAGACTTGGCTCAGTTGAGACAAGCTCAGCAACTGGCTGGAGAACTCATATGGGTGTCAACTCGAACAAGGGTCGACATTGGCTTTGCGGTTGGTGCAATGAGTCGAAGGTTGCATCGTGACCCGACTGGAGCTCTGAGGATTGGAGAACAGATCCTGAGCTACTTGAGAAAGTTTCCAGGTCTTGGAATACAATCTTCTCCTTGTGAGCCAACAGAGATGGATGAGAACCAGGTGCCAAGGATGATGGATACGATCGAGGTGTTCGCCGACGTGTCTTATGCTCCTGGAGGTGAAGCGTACAGATCCATCCAAGGAGTGCTCACAACAATGGGTGGTCAAATCATCCAGTGGCACACAGGCAGACAGAGCCTGATTGCAACTTCTACAGCCGAAGGAGAACTTTTGGCCTACCAAGAAGGTCAAATCATGGGCGCGAGTGTGGAGTCTTTGGCACAAGCTATGGCCCTGGACCCCGACGTGTTGATGTATGGCGACAACAAGGCCGCCATTTCCCTAGCTGTGTTGCAAACTGGAAGCTGGAGAACACGTCACCTGAGGGTGAGAGCCAGCAAACTCAGAGAAGTTCTGAAGAAGGGGAATGGAAAAGGAAGAGCCTGGCAAATCAGGCATATGGCTGGTACTCTGTTGGTTGCTGATGGTTTGACAAAAGCCCTGCAGAAGCAAGCCTTTGAGGACTTCCTCAAGAAGCTCAAGATGTCAGTGGCCGAACGTCTCATGCTCAACAAGGTGAAAAGCGAGGACGTGCCCAAGGACACCCCTGACAAGCTCCAGTGCAACCACCAAACAGGGATCTACTACAAAAGGATGATGGCAATTGCCTTGGCAGCCTTTGCATTTCTGCTCACTGGAGAATTCCAAGTTGCGGCGGTCGTGCTACTTGCGCTGAAGTGTTGCCAAAAGATCTATGCCGAGCTATGCAGACGATCAAAAGCTCAGCTACCAGAGGAGGTGTCAACTTCAAAGAAGAAAGAAATGAAGAAGGTGACAGAGGAGATAGAGATGAGGCTGAAGGCTTTTCAGGTGAGATCTGAGGCTGCTGAGGAGCTGCCCCCCAATGTGAGAGTTTTCACAAATGAAAAGCCTAGAGGAGATGATCGCTGGTACCCAATCCAGCCTGGAGGATGGTTGATCCGAAAGCATGGAAAGCACCGCCAAAGATGCTTTCACCCATTGCACCGTTCGTGCCCTGTGGACTCCATCCGATTCGAACCAGTCAGGTTCACTGTGATCTTTTATGAAGAAGGAGGAAGATCAAAGAAAAAGGTGGTCAAAGATGATTGGACAGGAACTCCTACGGTGATGAACTATGGGGAATGGAAGGGCTACACGGTCTTCAAACTCAAAGATCAACCTGAAGTTGCCCCCACACAGCTGGATCCTGAGGAGCCTGCCCGGTCACATGAAGCATCTTGTGCTAGCGATCACATAGCTTGCGGCAGAGAAGAGGAGTCTGTGACCAGCGGCAGTGTGATCAGCGGCGTGCGGGATCAAGCCTCTGCACTATCTACTGCGTTCCCTGGAACAGGTGGCTATGGAGCTCGAGATCCAAACCAACCACGTGCAAAAGCTAGAGGTCAAGCAGGCATTTCTCTTCGACCTCAACCTCAAGCAGTACAACAGCCTGGCGAACTGGAAGAAGTCATGAGGGGACTTCAACTCCTTGGTCGTCAATACCCAGGCTCTGGTGGAGAACAGCATTCTCCTGAAGTTCTGCGTTTTGGACAAGTTCAACGTTCCGCGCAACTTCAAGGTGCTGCTCCGCTTCCAGGTGATGTTCAACTTCGAGGTCTTGGTCAAGATCTATGTTCTGGTCAAGTTCAAGGTGCAGAACGAGCTCTTCAAGCTGCGACTCTGGCAGAGGATCCGATCTCTGACTTTGACGACAGTTTTGAGCTCATCACGGACGATGCTCCGCAACCACGTCCAGCACTGCGAGCGTTTAAGTTTTGTGGAGGTGGAGACAGTAACTCACCACCACCAACGGCTCGAGGAAGTCGAGACCCAGAGCCTTCCTTGGAGCTACAGCGAATATCCAATGATGATGAGCTGATGGATGCTACAACAAGCAGCTCAAGTTCAAGTTCAGAAGAACTTCTGCCGGATTACATCGATCCACCAGAAGGCCAACGTGGCATCTGGGATGACTACAATCCATGGAATGGCAGACCACTACGACATGATCCATGGGCTGAAGGAGTAACTTCGTACCCACCTCAGAGGTCGGTAGCTGGAGTACAAGTTGGCCCTACAGGAATGTCAGACACTGGCGTGCAAGTGGGTTCTCCGAGGATAGCTATGTCAGTTGCGTCTTCCTCGGATGCTCCTCCTACTGCGCCTGCCACAATGTCAACAGCTTGAAGCTGGATGCCAACAGACCCAAGGCCAAGAAAGGCACCCCCACCACCACAAAGTCCGTGGGTGCAGGCCACAATACAAGAGCTGAGACAGCTCAGAAGAGAAAATCAAATGCTTCAGGAGCTTTTAGAACCTGGAGTATTGAGGCAAGATGATATCGCCACAGCTGCACAGTTGATTGAGGCAGCTCAAGGATGGCGTCACCAACCAAAGTCGTCGCCGAACCCAAAGACGCAGCCGCTGTCAGTGTTGAGGAGGCCTGAGGGAGCTGTAGATGTAGATGCGACGTTGTCAGGGCCAGGTCAAATGCCCGGCAATTCAGCACCACCTGTGCTGGTAGATGCTCCAGCCTTGCCGCATCCGTTTTCAGCTTTTCCACCAGTCAGGCAAAAGGCTCCACCAGTGACACTGCAGCAAAACCAAAACCAAACTGTAGAACCTAAGCCACCCCCAAAAGCTGTTTTTCTCAACGCTGTTGGTGCTCCAATGGTCCCAAATACGGTTATGCCCAAAGCTGCAAAGCCGAAACCTCCAGTGCCACCGAAGTGTGCAAGGGACTGGCTTGGAGGAGCTCTTTTTCAATAGGCCTTGAGCTACGCAGTTTTTTCCTTTTTCCTGGGAAAACTCAGGAAGGGGGAGTGTCAGTGCACAAATCGAGAAGTGTACTGTAACATGTGCATAGGCATGGGTGCCCCTGCGCAAGGATGACACATCATCAAATCGACCGCCTGACATAGGCCTTTTGTGTGCTCAAAATAAGGGTTTGCCCGCTACTGCCTGCAGCAGCTCCGCTGACAGATTCAATGTCAGCCGCTGCACACAAATCACGAACAGCAACTGTACGGTATGATGATTAACAGTTTTGTAGTTGTGATTGAATGTGTGACTTCTGATCCGAATCCTGCCTTCGCAGCGGCAGCACTGTGGGTTCCTGAACAGAGATTGATTCCAAAGATCAGTTTGTTCTGTTGCTAAGACAACAGCTTGCTCAAATCAAAGAAAACTTCAGTTCAATCATGACTGAGCTTTTCCCCATCATCTCTTGGCGCGCACAGGATTGGAAATCCTTTGCTTCTCATGCGAAGCATAAGTAGATGATCTTGAAGCCCGGATAGAAATCTAAATCACACTCACACCACATTGGCCAGCCAGCTCAGCTGCTCAGCAGCAAAACAGCTTTTCAACTGCAAACTGTGTCTTAGACTTACAAAAGAGCAAAACGGAATGACAGAACTGGTGGTCACAAAGCCTATGCAGCTGGAAGTGGCAATGGCAATGTCCGAGATCTTCAAAATTTGATTATTGAAGACAAATTTCACACAGCCAGCGACTCAGTCAGTGTCCGATCCTCACACGAAGCTTGTTGCTTCAATAATCTGGACATCGGCCGCTACAGCAGCTTGGTCGGGATCATGCTGCTGCGCAGAAAGCGCAGACAAGTCGCAGCGCAACGGGCAGCGCACTGTGTAATTGGAGGTTGCTGCAAACCACTCATCCATGCACTGGGCATGGTAACAGTGGGTGCACTCCAGCACCCTCACCTCCCCTGTTTGCCTGGCAAATGACGCAAATCGGTGGGTCTTGGGCAGGGGCCCCTGCCTTGCTCACTGTCACTGTTGCTTCTGGAACAGGTGAGGGAAGAGCTGCTCCTGAAACAGGCGGTGGGGGCGCCAGCGTAGGTGCTGCTGGGATAGACGCTGCTGGCTCAGGAGTAGCAGCAGTTACTGGGACACCGCCGGGTGAAATTGAAATTGTTGAAACTGCTGCAGCAGCTGCTTTGGGAACCGGCGCAGGCGATGCAACAACAGCTCCTCGGGGAACTGGAGGCAACTTGGGAAGCACGCCATTTGCAAACGCATTGCAAATGTTTCCGGACACTGGGGCCGGAGGAGGCCTGAGAGGACCACCCCGCAGAAAGTCATCTTTCCAACCCTCTTCCACTGCCAAATCGTGCACATCAGCATCTGAAATATCCAGGGGCAAGCGGGCAAGCAAATGATCAGGAAAATCAGCACGCGAAGCTCGAATGCGATCATGGGCGCTCTGGAAGCGGACGTCCAGGTCCTCGAAGCTCGAAACTCCTGAAGTTGATGCATTGCATGACTAACTATTCCGAAATGAAAGGGCTAATGACAACAATACAAAATCAGTGACTGCTGAGCCTATTAGTTGCAAGAGTCAACTAGACGACAGATGGCGCGAGAGTGTATTAGAAGAGCATGTTACCCCCTTGTAATATCAAAGACATTGTAGGTGAAAGCTTCATAATTTTGAAGATGATGCAGATGATCAGCAGAAAGGAAATAGAAATGCTCTAAGCAGAAGCAGACAAAGATAGACACAACAATTTACTACAGTTTGGACATCAAACCGTATGAATGAGCAGTCGGCCGCCAATGCCATGTTGTTGTCATACAAAAAAGTACCATTTTGCCGCAGTTTTCGACGATCGAAACTCGCTTTGTGCGAAAAGGGTTGCGCCGCAACGGCAACCATGAAAGGGTTGCCGCCAAGGTTGTAAAATCGCAATCTCACTTCAATTTTTGGCGAGCGAAGCTCGTTCCTTGTGAAAAGGTTGCGTTTCGTGCCATCTCGTGGTCACTGCCCCGCGCCTTAAGAGAGAAATAGAAATGAAGGAAAAAGAAGAGGGCAAGAGAGAATGTGAAGATGTGAGGATGTGAAAATGTGAGGATGTGAGGATGTGAAGATGTAAAGATGAGAAGATGTGAAGATGAGAAGATGTGAAGATGAGAAGATGTTAAGATGAGAAGGTGTGAAGATGTGAGAATGTGAGAATGTGAAGATGTGAGGAGAGCAAAAGGGCAAGAGAGAATGTGAAGATGTGAATGTGAGGATGTGAAGATGTGAAGATGAGAAAATGTGAAGTTGAGAAGATGTGATGTGAAAATGATAAGATGTGATGATGAGAAGATGTGAAATTGGGAGGATGTGAAGATGTGAGGATGTGAGGATGTGAGGATGTGAAGATGTGAAGATTTGAAGATGTGAAGGCGAGAAGTAAGATGCGAAGATGAGAAGATATGAAGATGAGAAGATGTGAAGATGTAAGGAAAGCAAGAGGACAATAGAGAGAATGTGAAGATGTGAAGATGTGAGGATGTGAGGATGTGAAGATGTGAAGATGAGAAGATGTGAAGATGAGAAGATGTGAAGTGAAGGTAAAATGAAGAACCCCACTATTAGAAGAACCCTCCTCTCCGAAGCTCTCAGGAATTAAAAAATGCATTATTGAGATGAGAAACGCAAATGGCTGATGCGAACTGAAGGCTTGAGCTTGGTGAACAGCCACAGCAGCTGCAGCAAGCCACGCTGTGTCAAGGAGCTGGTGTAGCCAGCCTCCAACGATGGCACAAGCTTCTCCAAGGAATATGATAAGCGATTCATCGGAAGTCCTGACTGACACACAAAAAACATATAGATCAATTTATTACTGACTGACAAGAAAATGAATAAACAAAAATTTCGACCACCCCCACACCTCGAAGCATAGAAGCACTGCGGGTGATGGCAGCATCGTCGGTCTTGTTGTATTGCACAACTGGTGGTGGCAAAGGCCTTGCAGGCTGCGCAGGTGGATCCAACCCTGCTGAAGAAGCTGCTGTAGCAGGGGCAGGGGCATTGGCTGCATCACCCTGAAGGACTGCTAGGTCATCATCCTCCAGGTCGTCTTCGGCCATCATGCCATTGCCACCCATGACATTGCCACCCATGCCATTCATCGTCATAGGGTTGCAGCCCATCATCATAGGGTTGCAGCCCATCATCATAGGGTTGCAGCCTCCCATCATCATAGGGTTGCAGCCTCCCAAATTGCCAAACATTTGCTGCAATGTGCGCTGCCTTTTTGCTGATGGAAGCATAGGCATGACCCCAATTGACACAATTGACACAATTGATGCAATTGCCAAGTGCCAGCTGCTACAAAATGGCTGCAACGCATCAAAAACATATGCAGTCTGTCTCTGTTGTTTTGTTTTCGCATTTTGGTTTCACATTTTGTTTTCACATGTTGCTTTACACGTTTCAAAGCTCTCCTGTTTTTTGTTTCAATATGCATCCAAATCTGTCTCCATATTGCTCAAACTTGCTCAAACTTGCTCAAAATGTCTCAATCTGCCATTTTGAGCAATTTTGAGCAATTTTGAGCTGAATCAGGGTGCAGTTTTGAGCAATGTTGAGCAATTTTGAGTTGACTTGGGGTTGCTGCATTTTTGTGGTGAACATTTCACGTTGAGAAAGCAAATTGAAGTACTTTACAACCACATCATGTTGAGAAAACAAATTGAAATACTTTACAACCACATCATGTTGAGAAAACAAATTGAAATACTTTACAACCACATCATGTTGAGAAAACAAATTGGAATACTTTACAACCACATCATGTTGAAAACCTTTGATATGTCAAAGATTATATATATATAACAATTCTATGTTTTTGTTGTGATTTTTCAGGCATGAAGTTCAAGATGAAGTTCAACTGGCACCACGCCTTCTCACCCACAAAGTAAGCCACATCTTCAAGATGCACCTGGGGCACACCACTGACGCATCTAGATCATCTAGCAATTGCAGTGCACAAGACTCAAGTTTGGCTCAATTGACACAAATGACTATGTGCTCAGTCTCAACTGACTCAATCTCAAAAACAATGCACTCAATCTCAACTGATTCAATCTCAAAAACAATGGACTCAATCTCAATTGACTCAATTGATACAATTGGTAGAAAAGGTGAAAGTTGCAATTGACTGGACAAGACCTTGGCCCTCCCACAGTTCACTTCCAAGCATGGCCTGATTCATTACAACTTGCCACGCAAAACAACCACCACAAACACACAGATCCAACAATGACAGTGTGCGCACCAACATCCACTGAGCAAAAAAAATATGATCTGCTTTTAATTTCAAGAGTCAAACTCCAACAGTTGGCAGCCTTTTTTGAGGGTCACGCTGCGGGCCCAGGTATCTTATAATATGCCAATGGGCTATTCCATGGGTAAAAGACAAACCCACCATCTGTTGAACAACATTTGAACACAGTATTGCACATACTCAATCGGAATTTGCAATCACATTCATCTAAACACCCATACCCATGCCACCCATTCAGAGACCACACATGACACAATTGACACAATTGACACAAATGACAAGCCTATCATGACCTACAGCGCCCCAAGAAAGTGAAAAAGGCCATTTCTAGCCTGCTGCACTGCTACAATAGTATCCCTCACTGCAGGAAGCCTCTCTTCTCTTCGTTTCCTGGACAGGTAAATCATTCAGGCTGTTTAAGTGGTTTTTGCAAAAGGTCGAAAAGTTCAGATGCAATTACAAGACTGCCTGACGCCAAGTTGCTGATACAATTTCGAAGCCACTGGTTGCTCTCAAACTTATGGCAAAATCGAAAGAGCATGTTCATCCTGAGCAATGCTAAACTTGAGGAATGTTATTATCTTGTCATCAATAAACATAATAAGTTGCAAAGTCAAGCCCATAATCCATACTCCTAGTTTCTTATATGTAGCAGTCAGTGGTATCAGTTTCACTAAGTAAGGATCAACAACTTATATCTTTCACCCAAGAATCATGAGCTTGATCCTTTGCGATCTACTGATCCGAGCCATCTTGAAGAGCTGCCTGACCTCTGACTCGATCTGGTAGTCTCTCAGGATCTCATCCCTGGGCCAAAGCCAACAAAATGACAAAACAAATGAGCCAGTAGTTTGCAAAGGGTGTGAACTGAATCAAACATAGCAGGGCTTTTACACCGACTAGACTGACTAGACAAGACACAAAACCATGTCCACAGGGCCGGAAGCATCAGATGATTCATCGGTCTCATCCAGAAGTGATTGAAGAAATGCAATCTGGTTCCGGATCATCTCCCGAAATTGAGGTTGGCCCAGCTTCGCCTGCAGAGGCAAGACTATTGAAAACAGTTATCTAGGGGGGGGTCAGCAGAGGTCATGATTGGGGCCCCGTAGAGGTCAGTTGGGGTGCCGTAGAGGTCCCAGAGAGGTCCCCTACATATCATTTTCTAGTGGATATCTTTTATTTTGTTTCTGGCTGACTTTAGATGTGCCAGACGTGAGCTCAAAAGCATTGTTCAAATTTATCAATCGTACCATATCAGTTCCAGCCTTCTTCTGCGCTGGGCTCATGTTTTCAAGACCAGGAGGCAAAGTCAAAGGTGACGAAGTTGAAGGCTCCTCCTTGACAACCTGATCCTTCACAGCGGAAGCAGGCTCTACTTTGGTGACATTCCCATAATTTTGTGCCCCAAGACCAAACCCAGTTATCATCACATATGACTGACTCAAGATGGTTCCGGTGGCAGGCACAACCCAATGGGAGCTTGCGCAGGCTCCTCCTTCACAGAAATTTCCGCAGGCGCCTCCTTTACAGAACTAGAAGAAGCAGCTGATTCAACTGCGCTGGAAGCTTGTGCAGGCTCCTCCTTTTTAAGGGGTGGGCTTTTCCGTTGCGCTGGAGCAACTGCAGGAGAGCCTTCATTGGGCAATGTTTCAGCCGCCTGTGGCAAGAACTTGCCGCCATATTGGCAGTGCTTTGGCCCAAGTGGCAAGGGTGGTCGAGATCGAGCTTTCGGCGCCATCCCGGAACGCACAACATAGATCTTGGCTGTGGGGTGCCTGTCCTGCCAGACCCGTCGAGCATTCAACAGCGAAGCCTGAAAGTCCTCTAGGCACCAAGTGGTGCCCTTCTCATCGTCCCACATGTTTTGGACCACTTTGGACGAAGCCCTCAGCAAGAAGCAAAAGAAACACATTTCCAAGCACTATCAAGGAACACATAAACTGACTTTCCAGAAGCAACCAAACTGATTACAAGCGATTACAATTGACGCAGTAGACACAAATGACTGACACAAGTGACAAGTTGCACCATTGGCACACATGACAAGGTGCACAATTGACACGAATGACAACAGACAAGTTGCATACCCTGTGCAACCCAGGCGCTCTTTGTGGGGCAAAGTGCCATTCAAGAAGCCCATCACCGTTGCGTGGTCTTCCTGCAGGTTGGTGCTGAGCTTGAAGGATAGGAGAAGAACTTCCACGCCCGACAAGCCCAGCACTGACATCAGCAGGGAGGCCGCCCCCAAGGTGCGATGCCACCCCCAAGGTGCGATGCCACCCCCATGAGCAGGTTAACCTCAAAAAACACCACAACACAGATCTATTTGTCCCAATAAAAATTGCCTCAATCAAACAAAGGCTTATGCTGAATCAGTGTTGGCAAGGGGCCTGATCACTTCCGATGGGCGAGAAAGCACTTCCAACATAAGCTCCTCGATGCATTCGTGGGTTAGCACCTGCAATCAAGCTACTAAATGGGTACTAAGGAAGCAATTCAAGTGTCTCAGCAGGAATTGACATGAATTAAACTGAGTTGACATAAATTGGCATGAGTTGTCATTCAAATGGGGCGCCTCTTCTTGAACCACCGCATGGAGGCCACTGATCTTTTTGCCAGATCTGGTTTGCCCCTCATCCATGTGCCTGGGTCAATAACATCAACACCACAAACCAAACCGGTAACATCTTGAACACAATCAGATTGTACGTTGCGCAATTGACAACACATGACAGAAGAAAGACACACATGACAATAATACGACATATGTCTTGCAACGAAGTTGCCCCCTTGGCAGTTTCAGGCCAAGGCGATGTTCCCACACTTTCCCAGCATTCCTTGCCTCCACAATTCCCCATGGTGCTTCCTGCACAGCCCATTGGGCTGGAGAACATAAATTGAAAACTTAACATCTCCATTCAGATTCAGGCTTCATGTTAACAAACGGACTGATGACACATTCAGAAATTAAAAGAAGCCTGGCCTTGAACCCAATTTTTTGGTTCCCAGTGCCATAGCCAAGAATGACTACTTTGCATGGCCAGTGATAGGTCTGGCCATTCCACAGAACAATCTTGCCCTGAGTCAAGCAAAGGAAGGGGGGGGGCGTTTTTTAAAGATTAAACCGGCATCAGTTGGCAGTGACACAGAAAACACATCATAAACAGTAATTACATATGACATTTTAAGTTTTATCTGTTCGCTGAAATCCAAGGAGCAATCTCATCGCTACTTCTAGGTGTTGTCATACCGAATGCCTTTCTTTTTGTGGAACCTCAATCACAAACCAAGAGCCGATCACAACTTATGTGGAAATGTCATGAAATGTCAATGTCAGCATTCTGTCCAAGATGCTGCTCAAGGCTGGTTTTGACAGATGCCAGGATGTACTGCAAAGGAGATCTCGGCGGGTTCTTCTCAAGTTGCTGCCTTGGCAAAACAGAAAACACACTAAACCAAAAAAGAAACACAACTGTCCACCAACGGCTGTCCCACCAAAAGAGCCAAGAAACAGAAGCTCAACAGCAGATCCTGGGCACTCCGAATGAAGCAAGAAGAGGGCCTTAGATACTCAGCATTTGAATGCTTGCTGCAATGACGAAGCAGCGCGCAACACTTAGTACTAATTGCAAACGAAACACTTCCTAGCAAACCCAACCTTTTCCAATTGCAAACAAAACACTTGCTGCGCTTTCCTGGGGTACTGCGCAACTTGCTGTCGATATTGCTCCGGCAACAATTGCGCTGCGCAAGATGGCGCTACAGACATCAAGGGCGCAATGTGTGCTGCAAAACTTACTTTACTAGTTGTACTGCCTTACTTGCAGTAAGCTTCTTTCTTGTTGCATTTTTGGAGTCTTGTCTGTGCAGTATCTTGTATACAATGAAAAGTGATCCAACTTCAAATATTGAAATTGAAACAATTGACGCAAGTGACAATGCGCTTGGGCCTTGACTTGTTTAAAAGGCATGACACCCCGGGCATCAACATCACTGACACCAAGGCATAAACTGAATTCCCGATTCCACACTGACTCATTCACAAAGTTTGAGTGCAACAGAAGTGACAAAATTGAAAACCTTCCACAAATTAATTGAAAACTGCTCAGAGTGAGATACTCTTTTCACACTGTACCTTTCATCCAAAAACTTCTGTCGGTCGTTGTCGACCTTTAAAACCAACTTCTCACCATTCCATCAAGTTCAAAAATTTGAAATGTAGGTGGTGAAGCACTTCATCCAGCTGACGATCCTTCAGTCGTGGCCTGCTAACCACCTGGCTTCCTCTTCTGCGTCTGAACCAGACAAATCCCGATCCAAAGCATGGTATGCCTCCAAGGGCATTGCAGATAAGGCAGCCCTGGTGGATTCATCTTTGTCCATCAATTCCGATCTGGTGGGAAGGCTTCGGGGGACTGGACAGTCTCCTACGTCCCTGTCGAATTTGATTGCTGTGAGCAGCAATTCATACGACCCTGTCACAACACCTGGCACCATTTCCAATGGTACGCTTCCAGTTCTACGAGCTTCATCGTACGGCTTCACCCAGGCAATGTGGCGCCAGCGGTAGGAGTAGCCGCCTGTGAGCCCTAAGCATCTCGCGCAGCCAACTTCGACGCAAGGAAGCATCGGAACTGGCAGGCTTGGCTTTGGAAACTCCACCGGACATCGGCGCACTCGGGCGTGCAACTCAGTCAGCCCTGTCAAACGGCTTGTCTCTGGGAACTTTGCCACCAGATTCAAAACGACTGCTAGGAGTGCAGCCGAATCGACTTGAGGCCTGTTGTCCCAGCTAGGCAAGTCAGCCATTGAACTAAGTGAGCTTCTGAGCATAAGGGCGGTTTGAACAAAATGTTCTGCGGAACCGACCGCACCAATCACTTTGAAACACTGTTACCAGTGCATGGTCTATCGCGAGGGTTCTTGAATTCCAAAAAGCAAACTCTCAGCAACAAATGATTCCAGACCCTCTAGTATAGACAACTGATGGCTTCGCTTGCTTTCCTGTAAAGACAGTTTATTGACAAATTCATACAATACTGACAAACCAGAACAGGATATTGAAAAATGACATGTAAAACATAAAAACATGCCCGATTTTGGATTTTCAAGTTTTGATTGATTGCCCTCTCTTTCTCTTGGCCCGAATTTGGATTTCAAGTTGTCATGACTGATTGAATTTCAATGTTTGATCATTATTGACCCTTGGCCCTAATTTGGATTTCAAATTTTGATGATTACCTCTCTCTTGGCCCGAATTTGGATTTCAAGTTTTGCTGATGATTGACTCTCTTGCTCTTGAGGCCCGACTTTGGATTTCAAGTTGCGATGATTGGTTGATTGACCTCTCACTCTCAGTCTTGGCCCAAATTCTTGTAGTTGTGATGATGATTCTGATTGACCACTCTCTGTCTCTTTGAAGTCTCTTGGCCCGAAATTTGGATTTCAAGTTTGGTGATTAGATTGATTGACTCTCTTTCATTCTCTTGGCCCGAATTTGGAGCTTCAAGTTTTGATGATTGAATCTCTTAGTCTGGGCCCGAATTTGGAGACTCAAATCTTGATAAATTTTGATGATTGACTCTCTTTCTTCTCTCTTGGCCCGATTGTGTCGTCGAGTCGTGTTACTTCAAGTTTGGATGATTGATGGACTCTCTTTCTCTTGGCCCGATTTTAAGATTCCAAGTCTTAATGGTTGATCACTCTAATTAATTAGTTTTGGTGATTGATTGACCACTTGGCCTGATTTTGGATTTCTTGATGATTGATTGACCTTTCCTGTCTCTCGGCCCGGATTTGGATGTCAAGTCTTGATGGTTGATTGCCCTCTTTGGCCCAAATGTGGAACTCAAGTTTTGATGGTTGATTGCCCTCTCTTTCTCTTGGCCCGAACTTGGATTTGAAGTTTTAATTTAAAATGTTTGATTGACATCCGTCTCTTTCTCTTGGCCCGATTTTGGATTTCAAGTTTTGATGATTGACTCTCTTTCTGTTGGTCCGAATTTGGATTTGATTCAAGTTTTGATGATTGAGTGCCTTCCTTACTTCGAGTGATCCCCACCATGAGACTTTATACATGGGCACGGGTTTAAGTGGCATGGAGGGGGGCCAGAGCCAATTTCAATTATGGACGGGGGGGGTCCTTGATTTCATTTACAATTTCACTTTCATCCCGGCCCTTGCACACCGACATGCAACCGGTTCAAGCGGCGACCTTTTTTTTAAATCAGCCAGGCAGTTGCTTGGTCGAAAAAGTCGCCCAGACCTGAGCCCATTTCGTCCTCACGTCGCGTCACCTGGCAGCTGGGGGGTTGGCGGTGATTTATGGTTAATGGCTGAAAGTAATTTTAATGAAGATATAACCAACATTAACCAACAATAATAAGAATATGTTCACTATGAACGTATATAGATTTAGATTTATAAATATTATATATTTATATTTTCTATTCATGCTTTTTATGAATGAATATTTTCATTCTTACTGGTAAATAGCGGCACCATCAAACCAATGGTTGATGATGGTTAACAACAAATAATAAGGTGATATAACCACTAATAACCACTAATAATAAGGATATCATGGATGATACATAGAGGCCCCCCCAAACCAATGGTTTATGATAGTTAATAACCAACAATAATGGGATATCACCGCTAATAATAGGGATATCATGGATGATAAATAGGGGCGCCCCCAAACCAATGGTTTATGACAGGTAATAACCGGGCGAACTGTCGGTTGTACACTTGAGTTCTGTGTCGGTTGATGTCGGTTGTACACTTGAGTTTTGTGCCGGTTGTACACTTGAGTTTTGTGTCTCTTGTGCACTTAAGTTTCGGGTCACTTGTACACTGTTGTTTTCTGGGTTGCTTTGCAGACCGCAGTGCAGGCCACGTGCAGTATGAGGTGGGGTGGGGTGTGATGTTAATGCCAGCGGGGCAGAAAACGTACGTGTAGTCGTGCGCATTTTCAGCAAGAGTATTTGTTCATGACGTGGATGGTGTTTGCTTTGAGCATCATTCTTGTGCTACTTACTATGTTGTTCATACCCACCCCACCCCACCCCACCTCACCCCACCCCACCGCACCCCACCCCACCCAGACCCTAAAGTGTCAATGATGTTTGATCGTGAACATCACTCTTGTATTGCTTACCATGTTGTTCCATCATACCCACCCCACCCCACCCCACCCAGACCCTAAAGTGTCAATGATGTTCGATCGTGAACATCACTCTTGTATTGCCTACCATGTTGTGCCATCATACCCACCCCAACCCCACCCCACCCAGACCCTAGAGGGTCAATGATGTTTGCCCGTGAACATCATTCTTGTATTGCTTACCATGTTGTGCCATCATACCCACCCCAACCCCACCCCACCCAGACCCTAAAGGGTCAATGATGTTTGCTCGTGAACGTCATTCTTGTATTGCTTACCATGTTGTTCCATCATACCAACCCCACCCAGACCCTAAGTGTTAATGATGTTTGATCGTGAACATCACTCTTGTATTGCTTACCATGTTGTGCCATCATACCCACCCCAACCCCACCCCACCCCACCCAGACCCTAAAGGGTCAATGATGTTTGCTTTTGAGCATCATTCTTGTGCTACTTACTATGTTGTTCCATCATACCCACCCCACCCCACCCCACCCAGACCCTAAAGTGTCAATGATGTTTGCTCGTGAACATCTTTCTATGTTGTTGATGACCCCCTTCCCTCATGTATTGTGTCCAAGTGCGCAAGTGACGGCTAATTTGGCTTTAAGTGCGCAACTGACGTCGAGTGCGCAACTGACGTAAAAGTCCAGTGCGAAAGTGACAGCAACGCCTAATAACCAACAATAATGGGATATAACCATTAATAATAGGGATATCATGGATGATAAATAGGGGCACCCCCAAACCAATGGTTTATGATAGTGAATTACCAACAATAATGGGATATAACCGCTAATAATAGGGGTATCATGGATGATAAATAGGGGCACCCGCAACCATAGTGGTTGATATAACCAACAATAATGGTTTCTACAACCAGTAATAGGGATATAATATACTAGTATGATGGGTCCATGCCGGGCCTCTCAGCGAGCAGTGCAGCAGGCAAAAACCGTTCCTCTCGTCCGGCTGTGGGGTTGCCACTTGAACACTGTGGTTGCAGATCGCATTGGAATGGCTGCATGAATGTTGCATGGGCTATGTTTTGGGGAGGAAGCCGGAGCACGAAACCTTGTGTTTTTCATGTAAAGTGGCTGCAGGCGACGATGAAAGGTACCTCGTGTGTGCGACGGGTGCGGCTGGGGTCGTTTCATGCGCGAATTGTTCCTCCTATGTGTTTTGCAACGAGTGGTTGTTCCTGTGTGCGTAGTTCTATGCGTTTCTTGCAGCTGTGGTTGCAGATCGCATTGTAATGGCTGCATGAATGTTGCATGGGTTACGTTTTGGGGAGGAAGCCGGAGCACTACTACTACTACTACTACTACTTCTTCTCTTTTTTGTTGCTATTCATTTAAAAATATTCACAGGCATACGTATACGCAGGCACGCGTATGCAAAGGCATACGTATTCACAGGCATCCATATACGGATGCATACGTATACACAGGCATACGCATACACAACCATATAAATTTTATGATTACTATTACTGCTACTACTATTACTGCAAGAAATAGTAGTAGATATTTTTTTATTTTGCTGCTATTCATTTAGAAATATACAGGATCATACGTATAAACAAGCATACGTATACACAGGCATACGTATACACAGGCATACGCATACACAGCGATACAAATTTTACTACTACTACTAATAATAATGATAACTATTAACAATAGTACTACTACTACTACTACTACGACTACTACTACTAGTACTACTACTACTACTTACTACTACTGCTACTACTCTTTTTTGGTGCTATTCATTTAAACGTATTCACGGGCATACGTATACACAGGCATACGTATACACAGGCATACGTATACACAGGCATACGTATACACAGGCATACGCATACACAGGCATACGTATACACAGGCATACGCATACACAGGCATACGCATACACAGGCATACGTATACACAGGCATACGTATACACAGGCATACGCATACACAGCGATACAATTTTTTCTACTACTACTATGACTACTACTGCTACTACTTTTTTTTTGCTGTTATTCATTTAAAAGTATTCACTGGCATACGCATGCACAGGCATACGTATACACAGGCATACGTATACACATGCATACGCATACACAGGCATACGTATACACAGGCATACGCATACACAGGCATACGCATACACAGGCATACGTATACACAGGCATACGTATACACAGGCATACGCATACACAGCGATACAAATTTTACTACTACTACTACTACTACTACTACTACTACTACTACATACTACTACTTCTATTACTACTACTGCTACTACTTTTTTTTGCTGCTATTCATTTAAAAGTATTCACGGGCATACGTATACACAGGCATACGTATACACAGGCATACGTATACACAGGCATACGTATACACAGGCATACGTATACACAGGCATACGTATACACAGGCATACGCATACACAGCGATACAAATTTTACTACTACTACTACTACTACTACTACTACTACTACTACTACTACTACTACTACTACTACTACATACTACTACTATTACTACTACTGCTACTACTTTTTTTTTGCTGCTATTCATTTAACACAGGCATACGTATACACAGGCATACGTATACACAGGCATACGTATACACAGGCATACGTATACACA